GAAGTAGTGGATGCTACACATGCGGTCAGATGGGGCATATATCTAATCAATGTCCTCTAAATCAGAAAAATCAGCCTCTTACACTACCACCTACAGTTCCTCTACAGCAGATTCTAGGACCTGGTACCTATAGCAGACAGGTTATAATGTTGTTTTCCACTACCAGGGCAACATAACCTAGTATCCATAAGGAGCGTATCAGTACCCACCTGACGTTCCATATTACCAAGGCGGTTATCAGCAGTATCAGGGATGTTATACACCATATCAGGGTGGCGGAGCACAGTGGTATGATGGAGGACAACACCAGAATCTTGATGTAGCTTCTAGCAATAGCGGCTCGGGCAGGCAGACTAATCAAACCAATCAAGGTGGAGGTAATCAAGGATGCGACAATCAGAATCAGGTGAACAGAGGTCATGGAAGCAGACAGCAAGTGCAAGGTCGCGTCAACAACATCACCATGCAGAATGCTCAAAGTAATCCCAACTTGATTATGGGTACATTGAATGTTCCAGGCCATTTTGCTAGAATTTTAATTGACTCAGGTGCTACTTATTCGTTTATTTCCCAACCTCACCCCACTCCTCTCGGTTATGATTTAGAGTTCTCGATGCTTAGGGGTAAAATTTGTTATGTGAGTTGGGAGTATCGAGGATGTCCCGTTCTTATCAAGGATGTGGTAATGTCAGCTAATCTTGTTCCCTTAGACATCGTTGACTTCGATGTTATCTTGGGCATGGATTGGTTAGATTACAATTATGCCATGTTGAATTGTTGCTAGAAAATTGTTACTTTTCATTGACCAGGTATGCCTAGTGTGACTTTTGTCAGCGAACGTAGTGGCTTGAAACACGAAGTTATCTCTGTCATAAGGGTGAAGCGAATGTTGAGAAAGGGTTGTAAAGGCTACTTAGCTCATGCAGTGATGACTGAAGACACTCCTATGTGTGTGGAAGACGTTTGGGTAGTTAGACACTTCCTTGGGAATCTGCTAGCTCATGCAGGTGCGTGGCCTGCGCTTGGGCGCACGTGTGGCCCTGAGCTGGCGGCACGTGAGGGCAGGTCCAACTTCATGGTGGCGAGCAGTTGTCGTGTACGGGTTCGTGACGTCATGTAGAATGTTTTCGTATATTTAAACCCACAGTTTGAGCAAACTATGAGGGATTTTCCTAGCCTTTTAGTGTATGTGCTAATTAATTAATTAATTAATTAGTATAGTTGTTTCACATATAGGAGATAATTACCCCGAGGAGGTACAAGGGAAAGTAAGGCTAGGAGGCTACAATATGACTACGTATCAGCGAGTGGCCATTTGTTTTTATATATTATATATAAAGTTTTATAGTTTCCACAAATGCTTTTGGATTGATTTTATACCTATCATGCCATGTTTTATTTAATTTTAAAATGCCATTATATTGTTGAGATTTATATATTGTCATGGCATGTTCATATATATTATACTTGGTCATCATGCATGCTTGCACCAGTGTAGTACTCACCTGGGCCAGGGCTATGCTTCACGTGTATGTTCACATTGCACGCTCACCTTGGATCCATTGAAGGTGCCAATCCTGTCCTAGGTTGCAATAGGCAGCTACGACTCGTATGTGATGCACCTAGCGCCAGTCTTTACGTGATTGTAGTACTGGAACGTATAATATAATTACACCTAGTCCTATTCATGGCAGAACTTATCTGCATGAGCTTGTGTGCTAGCATAGGTTGATGAGAACCTGATTTTCTTATACTAAGCTTGAGATATTATGATTGGCGCATTTCTGGATTTATTGTTGATTTACATTTGATTTCATACTTATATGTAGTATGATTTTCTGGAAACTATACATGTTTTACGGCTAGGGGTCAGTATGTTCAGAAAAATAAATGTGTTTTACAAACCTTTGTTTTTGCCTACTCACCCTTCTGTTTTTTTCCTTTAGCTGAATTCTCTGTGGCGTACGAGGGATCTCTGGTGGTTCTGACATTTCCACAAATAAATGTAGGAGTTTATTTCCGATGGTGTAATAAGTACCTTAACTAGATTCGACTGCTCTATTTATGTCGTATTGTCATCCATGCTTTGAACACTTGTGTTTTATGGATTCTTCCCACTACTGTGCACTCTACTTTAGATTAAATAAATGTTAGCTTTGGTTTAAATTTATCCATATTTTTTATGCTTCACTTTCCTTTTTGGTTACTTCACTTTCAGGTGTCGGCCAACATGCCTTGACTCCGGTTAGGGTGTGTCAATTCAAAGACGAGAACAAGCAGGGGATTGCTTTTCAACCAACAAATTTTACCATTTTCTTGTACGTTTCTCAAGCAAAAATGATGGCATAGTTTCGTGCAAATTCTATCAAAATGTGCATTGACTGAGACCTTATCAGTTTTTAGATTTTGTTCAAAGTCTCTAGCATTAATGTATTAGTGGATTACATGCCAGTTGCATAATTTTTTAAAATAAAAATTAGTAATTGATTTAGGGTTTTAATACTCACGCCCATATTACTCCTAATTCATTTTCAATTCAAAACATTTCCAAATCAAGAAAAATAAAATTAGAATAAATTTGTACCCATTAATTTATATATGTACCCCATTCATATAATTTTTCAATTTTTTCTTATCTTAAATGTACACAATCTTAAATATACCAATTTGTTATATGTAAAATGTACTCTTTTTTAATATAAAAGTAAGTAAAATGTACCCATTTTTTTATATAAAATTCATTCAATCTTTTTTCTAATCCATTTTTTAAACTTATATGGTACATTCTATTTCATTGATTTGATAATGTATTCATGTCAAATTTAATAGAAGAAATTTGGTAATGTTATTAAGCTTAATATCTTTCTTTTTTTGTGTTTTTGAAAAATGTACCTATATTTTGGTACAATAATTTTTTGGTTAGTTTTGATGAACATACCATGTATATATATACACACACACATATACAATATATTGGAGAGTATAACTTATCTTTAATATTTTTAATCCCATAAATTATAGATTTTATTTAAAATCTCATTAATATAAATAACTACAAATTTCATTTTTAATTTAAAAATATAGTAACATATATAGAAATACATTATTGCATTAATGTCAGAGGCTTCGATAAAAAACTGAAAACTACAAAGGTTTGAATCGAAAAATATTGGTAGTTAGAAACCATATCCAAAGTTCCCCGTATTATAATTTATGGTTTCTTCAAGTATTTTGTCATAAGTTTCTTAACTCTTAAGGTTTTCATGAGCATGGAACAAAGATTGCAACACACCTTATCCATTCATTCATATATTAATGCATGTTGAAGAAGCAGCCAAAGCAGCATTTCTGAATTCAGAAAACCTTACCTTATTATCCCCATCCAAATCCATTGCATGTAAAAGGGCATGTATGCAAAGTTGCAAACCCCTCCAATGCATTCAACAGAGACGTTCCTACCTTGAAATCCAATCTCTTCAGAAAATAATAGCTATTTATTTATTTTTATTATTATTTCCCTTTTGTTCCAAGTTTCAAAATAATAACACAATAAATCCCAACTTTTTCAGTAAAGTTATTAGACAATTAACTAATTATCAAAACCAAATCCTAATTTGCTTGACAATTAAGCAACCGACAAAGATTCTTGTCTATTAACTAATCAAGGCAAGAACTCATTGCAGAAATGCATGAAACAACTCTATTAGCACTGAGTTCAAATTTGACATCTTGTTGGGGGATGCCGTAGGTCCGAATTAGACATCTTCCGACATCCATGAGACCAAAATGCTAAGAAATAAACATTAGAGTAAGGTAAGAAAACGGGTGACAACGGTAAGAAAACGGGTGACAACGGTTCTGTTGTGATTATGTTGGTTTTAATTCCAAAAAAAAAAAAAAGAAGGCGGCTCTGTCGTTAATTGCAAAGAAAAAGAAAATGTGTCTATTTCGTTATTCGTTTGTAGTTAAAAGAAAAGGGTAGGTTTGTCCTAATTCGTTTGGTTTTAAGTTTTAACCGCATAAACAAGGAAAATGCAGCTTCATTGTGATCCATTTAGTTTTAATAGCATAAATCAAGGAAAAGGCGGTTCTGTAGTGACCCGTTTAGTTTTAACCACATAAATCAAGAAAAAGACAACTCTTTTGTGACCCGTTTAGTTTCAACTGCTTAAATCAAGGAAAAGACGGCTCTGTCGTGATCCATTTAGTTTTAACTGTATAATCAAGGAAAAGATGCCTCTTTCATGATCTGTTTAGTTTTAACCGCATAAATTAAGGAAAAGACAGCTCTGTCATGATCCATTTAGTTTTAAAGGAAATGACGACTCTATCGTGATCCAATTAGTTTAGTTTTAACCGCATAAATCAAGAAAAAGACAGCTTTATTGTGATCATTTGGTTTTAACCATAAAAGTCAATGAAAATACGACTCTGTCGTGATCCTATTAGTTTTTAACAGAACAACTTAAGGAAAATACGGCTTTACTGTGATCTCTTTGGTTTTAACCACGATGAAAAGAATATGCAATTGTATCGTCATTTGATTGATTTTAATTGCAAAAACCAAAAAAAAGAAAAAAAAAGAAAAAGGTGATTCTGTCGTTTAGTTTTAACCGCGTAAGAAAGATAAATTGTGTAAATAATGCTAATATAATAATTGCCTTCAACTATTTTGGAATTGACTAATACACCATCAACATCATTTCGTTTCACTTCATTTTCAGTACATGCATTTTTGCATTGGTGGATAGTGGATCTCCGACACAATACACTGCCAGACTTGTTAACTAATTAAAATTGCTGATGTGGCAAATCCTGGTCTAGACACGTCAGTCACTCCGCACAATTTGAAAAATGTTTTGGTGTATTTGCTTGTTGGATTCATAGCTATCATCCACTCTATCCTCTTGTGATTTCTGATGACGTGGCCCAATGAATGCACATGCAAAACAATCACCCAGATACACACTGCTGCTAAAAACACAGCCATGGAATGGGAGTAATCACATATACAAAGTCACCATTTTTGGTCCTTGAAAAAAGGCTCTTAATTTCCAATACACTGCTCATCCACTCATTCTCTCTCTCTCTCTCTCCCCATCCCTCCCTTATTTTATTCAGTAACTCCCACTGACACTATCACCATTTCAGTGGGGAAAACTCTGAGACTCCCAGAGACCTTAGTTTCTTGATACCCTTCTCTGGGTTCCTATCCATTTCACCTCTGATTGCAAATTTGAAGCTCTTGAGATCCATTTCTTCTTCTTCTTCTTCTTGTATATGCAATGGCTCTCTGCGCATTCTCATTTCCTGCACATATCAGCAAACCAGCAGCATCTGCAGATGCTCAGAAATCCCACTTCTCTGTGGGAACACCTCTTCCATGCCCATCTCAGCAGAAGCTCAATCAGGTCAGAAAAGTTTGCATCTTTCTTGTGAATTTCACAAGGGGCACTCACTGCATGGATGATTTGAGTTTTGGAGAAATGGGTTTTGTTCGAAATGTCAATTTTATAATTCAGAACAAAAATTTAGTTGTTTTTTGTTGTCAATTGGAGCAGGTGATGAGAAAACGGCCAAGTGGGATTTGTGCGTCACTGTCAGAGAGAGGGGAGTATCACTCACAGAGACCTCCCACTCCTCTCTTGGACACCATCAACTATCCAATTCACATGAAAAATCTTTCTGTCAAGGTATATAATTTTTTTTTTAAATTTTAAATTTTTGATATATTTGCATTGGTTTTAATTGATCTTGCTTGTGCTAATTAATTTTAATTCAGGAGCTTCAACAACTAGCAGATGAGCTGAGGTCTGATGTGATCTTCAATGTTTCAAAAACTGGAGGCCACCTCGGTTCAAGCCTTGGTGTTGTGGAGCTCACTGTGGCTCTTCACTATGTCTTCAATGCTCCTCAGGACAGAATCTTGTGGGATGTTGGCCATCAGGTTTCTCACCTTCTTTCTTTGGTTGCTCTCCTTTTCTGATATCGAAAAAGCAGTGATTCAATAACTTCAAAATTTTCCGTGTTTTGATTGCAAATTGTGAGTTTTGTTTTGTGTAGTCTTACCCACACAAAATCTTGACTGGGAGGAGAGAAAAGATGCACACCATGAGACAGACAAATGGATTAGCCGGCTTCACTAAGCGCTCTGAGAGCGAATACGATTGCTTTGGCACTGGTCACAGTTCTACCACTATCTCTGCAGGCTTGGGTAATTTCCTCTTCTGATAAATGTTGAGAACTCAAGTGTATTGAACTTATAAGTGTTCCTTTGTGGTTAGGAATTGAATTTAAGATTAGAATATTAACTGATGATCTGAGGTAAAAGGTTTCCGTTTAACAATCGGGATCAAAACATGAACGTCCCTTAGGAAGTTGCACACAATTGTAATTATAAGATAGTTTATCGTATTGTAGATTAGAAACCTATTTGTTAACAATATTTCTATAATTCTAAGTGAAGAAAATCTGATTCCTTTAACTAAACTCTCGTGTAACTAGTTACAATTTGATATACTTGCATCATGCATCTAATGTTATGGAAAAATGTTATATTTATCCTCACGCCAGTTTTTTTTTTCCGAATGATCCGATTGACTTCTATTTAGTTTCTACAATTTCAATCCCGATTACATTTTTCGATTTAAAGGTCAATTCCTCATTTTGGTTTTTAATCGAGGATGTTAATGAAAATGCAGGGATGGCAGTAGGCAGGGATCTAAAGGGAGGAAACAATCATGTAGTTGCTGTAATAGGTGATGGTGCCATGACAGCAGGGCAAGCGTATGAAGCCATGAACAATGCGGGGTACCTCGATTCTGACATGATTATTATTCTTAATGACAATAAACAGGTTTCTTTACCTACCGCTAGTCTTGACGGACCCATCCCGCCGGTAGGAGCTTTGAGTAGTGCTCTCAGTAGGTTGCAATCAAACAGGCCGCTCAGAGAATTAAGAGAGGTCGCCAAAGTAAGTAATAATTAAGTCCGAACATAATTCAGCATACAGAAAACACTTGCATTTCCAAAAATGTGGAGATTCTGATTATGGTTCAACTTTGATTTGCGATTGTTGCAGGGAGTTACTAAACAAATTGGTGGCCCTGTGCATAATCTGGCAGCAAAAGTTGACGAGTATGCTCGAGGAATGATCAGTGGTACTGGTTCATCACTATTTGAAGAGCTTGGACTATATTATATAGGTCCGGTTGATGGTCACAACCTAGATGATCTTATTTCCATTCTCAAAGAGGTTAAAATTACCAAAACAACGGGTCCTGTCCTGATCCACCTTATCACTGAGAAAGGCAGGGGATATCCGTATGCAGAAAAAGCGGCAGACAAGTACCATGGTATATACATTTCTTTCTGAAGAGACAAATAAGCAACAAGTGCATTATTATTTATTGAATTGGTTCTGAAATTAAATCCATTATTGTACGCAAACAATTTATTCGCTGATGATTCTTTAAAAGGAAAACTGAACGTCTTTAATGCCGTTAAAAGATCTCATTCATGTGGTCTGCATGTGCGTAATCTAGATATAGTCAATGAAATGCGAATAAAGTAGTTTTTCTTTTGCTATTGCAGGAGTGGCCAAATTTGATCCGGCAACTGGAAAGCAATTCAAAGCAAGTGCTAGTACACAATCTTACACAACATACTTTGCAGAGGCTTTGATTGCAGAAGCTGAAGCGGACAAAGATATTGTTGCTATCCATGCTGCAATGGGAGGTGGAACAGGTATGAATCTCTTCCTCCGCCGGTTTCCAACAAGATGCTTTGATGTTGGAATAGCAGAACAGCATGCGGTTACTTTTGCTGCTGGTTTGGCCTGTGAAGGCCTAAAACCTTTCTGTGCAATTTATTCATCTTTCTTGCAGAGAGCTTATGACCAGGCAAGCTATTAGCTTCTTTCATCTTTAACTTCATCCATCATTGTTATCTTCTTTCAAAAACTGATATGGTGCTACTCTTAGATGGTCAGAATATTACTGAAAGAGTATATAAACTCAAATATTGGCTTCCATGTTTGGGCCTCAGGTAGTACATGACGTAGATTTGCAAAAGCTTCCGGTTAGATTTGCTATGGACAGAGCTGGGCTGGTCGGAGCTGATGGTCCTACGCATTCCGGGTCTTTTGATGTCACTTTCATGGCATGCCTTCCTAACATGGTGGTGATGGCCCCTTCTGATGAGGCAGAGCTTTTCGATATGGTAGCCACTGCTGCTGCCATAGATGACCGACCAAGTTGTTTCCGATACCCAAGAGGAAATGGGGTTGGTGTTGAGCTGCCACTAGGGAATAAAGGCACTCCTCTCGAGGTGACTTTCAGCAGTATCTACTACTATGTATCTATCTATAGTAACCATAAATTTCAATAATTACAAGATGATTGAACGTTGGCAATTTGCCTACAGGTGGGAAAGGGAAGAATATTGATCGAAGGGGAAAGAGTTGCACTTTTGGGTTACGGAGCAGCAGTACAGAGCTGTTTGGCTGCCTCCTCTTTGGTGGAATCCCATGGTTTGCGTCTTACAGTTGCTGATGCACGATTTTGCAAACCACTGGACCGAGCTCTCATTCGCAGCCTTGCGAAGTCACATGAGTTTCTGATAACTGTGGAAGAAGGATCCATCGGAGGGTTTGGTTCTCACGTTGCTCATTTCCTGGCCCTTGATGGCCTTCTTGATGGAAAACTCAAGGTACGCATTTGATTTTTGTTACGATATTCTACGTATGATGTTTCGATGACTCTTGCATAAACATTATACTCCTCAAATTCCTTAAAAACTCACATTGATGCTCAATATCTTGTAGTGGAGACCAATTGTTCTTCCTGACCGGTACATTGACCACGGTTCCCCTGCTGATCAATTGGCCGAGGCCGGACTCACCCCTTCTCACATTGCAGCAACCGTATTCAATATGCTTGGACAAACAAGAGAGGCCCTGGAGATAATGTCATGAAGACAGAAATTTACAAAGCAGCGCCATTTTTTCGCTGTATACAAAACCGAAATTGTGACGCTCTCTATTTCCATCTGTATAAAAAAGTCCCATATTTGAGCAAGGTGTTGCATTAGGTAGCTGAAGGAAACCTAAACAATCCAGTTCATCAATTAGGAGCTCCAACTAGTTGAGGCACCTGAGATTGTAACATGGCCTACAAATGCAACTGATTTGTGACTAGAAGAAAACTCTTTTCAAGTCTTTTGCACGGTGTCTTTTGGGTTTTTAACTTAGTTGCTTAACCCATCCGCATACAAGTTTGGTTTCAACGTCACAATAGCGTTCTGATTCAATAATGCATGGTTGTAGAAAGAATTTTACGCATTATAAAGTGTTACTAGATTGAAATGTCATGCGGTGGGAATCCGTTGTTTGATTTTAATAATGCATTGTTAAGGGATTGTTGACATGTTTTAGTAGAGAGAGAGCAATTGGGGTTGTGGCATTTCTAGGGAGGATTTGGCCAAGAGAACATTCCATATATGTGTAGGCAGGAAATTAGTTAGTGGTGATTGATTCGAAATCACATTATACAAAGTATATGTCATGAAATGTCATGTCATCTCTTCCCAAAGAAAAACAACCAACAACAATTGGATGGTGCACATAAAAATATTCCCAAGTGATAAACCCACATCTCTCAATCCTCCAATTATATCTCATGAATGTCAAATCTCCAAAACCTTCCCTTAAATTGAAAAGTTATGCCACTTTGCCCTATTGATCATGAAATAAAATATACAAAACAAATACATACTTAATTAGTTCCCCAATTACTTAAAGAATCAAGCTATAGAAAGAAAAAGAAAATTCCTCACCAATTATTAAATGACAGTCGATGAAATAACAGTTGAATTAAAAGATTCTTTTTCTTCTTCAAAATCTTTTTTAAGTGTTTTTAACTGTAAAATTGAGTCTCGAATTGATTATTTGAGAAGAACCCAAAATACACCAAGATGAACAATATTGCATTAAATTCGCCTATAATTAATATGAAACAAATAAATTGATTTGTGTACTAAATACCCAAAAAAAAAAAAAATTGTAGTTGTGAAACCCGTAACCATTTACTTGAAAGAATTTCACTCTCTTTAAACACAAACTTTGTTACTCCCTCGTCCCTACTACATTATGCAACACGCATTTGGATTCTCATCACTGAACATGAAAAGAATTTCACTCTCTTTACAGCAATCAAAAAATGGTGGATAAACATTTGGTTTTGTCAGATTTCCCTCACCGGACGCATCTTTTGGTTTTTCTTCCTTGTCAACCACAATCTCCACTTTTTTGCCCGTCTTTTTCCTCAGTTTCTTCAACACCTTTTGTGGGTCGATTTTCCCAGTCACCACAACTTTGTGTTTCCTCATTTCTGTCGTAAATTTCTCCACCCCTAATAAATAAATTAACCCAAAAACTAAATTAGAATTAAAACAAAATTAAGATAAAACTGTAAAAGAAGTTAACCTTTGACTTTGCGAAGGGTTTTGACGACGGTTCTTTCGCATGCATTACAGTGCATTGAAACCTTGAATTGTACTGATACAACCTATGGATGAACGAAAATGAAATCTAGTTATGTAATTTTGAGTCCGTCATTTGATGGTAAAAGGTAAATGTGGATTAAAACGTGGAATCTTACTTTGAGTTCCTGGTCATTTTTCTTCTTACTCTTTCCCATTGACACTGTTGACTATTGACGACGAGAAGGCAAAGCATGCAAATTAACCATGCAGGGATGGAAGTTGAAGAGACAAAAAGGCAGTTCGGTAAATATTTGCATGTGTTTTGTAAGAGCGGTTATTAAATCGAGTGGTCAAATTACGGACATGCCCCTTTCCTTGGTCGGAAAACGAATTAACAGTTTGTCAGTTTTTTTTTTTTTTTTTTGGTCCCTTATTTGTTTCCCCGCGATTTTCTGAATGATGTTCCAACGTTTCCAACTGCTGAGTTTCTCTTTTACCACTTCAACACATCAATCTTACCCAACTTAGTTTATGCAATTGACTATTTTTTGGTGAACAAAATGTTTAGGGTTATTCTCATCACCAACATTAGACTATGTTGATAATGAGTCCTACATTAATGATGGAAGGAGGTACTTTACATGAGCTTACATGAGGTTGACTACTCCTTATATTGCCAATTAGTTTTATGGTAAAACCTCAACTTTCTTCATGGTATTAGAGCAGGTTATCCCACGTGTGCAGCCAAATGGCCACATGTGCTCTACGTCACCTCATTGTGTTGTCCACGTGTTAGGCTCGAAAATTCACCACATGTGAGAGGGCGTGTTGAAAATGAGTCCCACATTTATGGGAGAAGGGATCTTACATGGACTTATAAGAGGTTGGGCTACTTCCCATATTACTAATTGGTTTTATGGTGGAATCTCAACTTTCTTTAGACTATACTCATAACGTCGATTTAGAAGGACTTATGCGTAACGCTTAATTGACAACTTTTATCAGTATAGATTTGTAATTTGCGTAGGAATTTACAAATCTCTCACCAATATTTAGGATCACTAGCAGCGACACTCGAACCTTGGTGGGACGATACATAAGACAGGGACCTTAATTACCAACTGAGTCAACCTCTCTTTGGCTTTAAGCACTTGACTTTAAGAATGTAAGTTAACATACTATTTACCAAACTTTTTTTGTTTCAACAATTGTCGTACATGAGATTTTGACTTAATGATAACAAAGTTGAGACTAGATGCTATTAAATTAAGAGTTAGTTGATAATGAATATATGGCCTATCGAGATCATAACAATTTAAAAAATAAAAATAAAAGAGAGTTGTAAATGATGAATTGTTTTAGTGGATAATTCTTTCGTCTTCAATCCATTACATTTTGAATGCAAATCTTCTTTTGCTCATAATTTAAAAGAATTTAATATAAATTATCCTATTGACAAAAACAAAAAATCAGTCATTTCATAAAAGATTCAGAGTACAGGTTTTGGATGTTGCAACCAAAGCCCTGCTCATTTATTTATTCCATTGGAAAATATAAAAAAAAAAAATTACAGCAACTATGACATTACAGAAACTGGAATTTAATACTTAATTAGCATTAACAACCCTGCAATTCTTTCTAATCTCTCCACCGTCCTGCTCTCGTGTTTTGATTCCAATGGCACCCATTTTCTTCATTGAATTCCCAAAGTAGGTCATGAAAACATGGAACCTCTCCAAACGTCTAACAATCCGAGCCGAACGCCGGTCAGTGAGTAGGGCAGCATCTGATGTCAAGAGGCCTTTGTTTTGCCTCAAGCCCGCAAAGTAATGACTGTCAAAGGAAACTGAGCTGTTGGCGTCCAGCGCCACCGCGACGACTGGAGTGGTGCATTGTGTTCTCAAAAACTCTGCGTATTCTGGATCAAGTGTAGGGTCTATGTCACCTTTTCCGGTTACGTTCAGTCTCCTTTGAAATACAGAGCAATGTGCCACTCCAATTGTATGTGCCCCTACACATCGAAAAATGTTCTTTTATTAGATGGTCAATAATTTAATCAGTTGAACTAAACCATTAATTGGATAAAGTGATCATTTGAACGTGTAATTCAGATTGATAGTCTAAAGACGTAACATGACATGATCATTGAATTATCAAACGGGAAGAGAAAACTTGATACATACCTGATAATGCCACAAGATCTATGACGTTCAGCCCCAAACCAATAAAGTGCTGGTAGAGTGTGGTGAAGTTTGCACCTGCGGAGGGTAAGTTTGCTGAAGCCTCTGACGAAAGGGAGACTTTTCCATCTTTTCTCCCGGTTAAAACCTGCCACATCGGCCTTCCAAACTGTCCAATGATCGATAATAATTAAATATCACAACCAAATTTAATATATATATGAATGATTTTATTTGATATAATAATAATATATATAGGAATGATTTGAGCGTATATATATATATATATGGCACGTACTTGATAAGAGACAGCATCTCGGGCTGCCAAGGCAACAATATCAGCACATGAGACGATGCCGGGACACTCTTCTTCTAATCTGGCTTTAATTTCATCAATAACCTCATAACCTCTAATATTCCTGTTTTGTATTGCTTCCTTCTCCGCCGTGTTGTCGCTGGTTGAATCTAGCAATAGTGATGCATCACATCCCTACAACAAGATACACACACACACACACACACACACACACACACACACACATTAGAATATATAAACGTTGTACAGGTGATGATGCTGTGATAACAAGAAAAAAGGCCGGTAGACACTCTGAGTATCCAACCCAAAGTCAATTTTAGGATACTAGGAAACATACTCTCAACGATGCATAACGTGTGATCGTGTATGTGTGCACATACATATAATAAGGTAATTAAGGTGTATCTTAAGGTTTTGCTACATGATCCATGCATGTGGTAATAAACTGAAATGGGAAGGAATTGGTGCTCATACGTACCCTAACAAAACAGTCATGGTAGTGCATCCTTAGAAGCTTTGCTGCCATGGTAGGATTTTCTGCAACCTTGCTCCATGTGATATTCTTCACTATTCTTCCAATTTCAGGGCAACTCTTGTGATAGAACACCGGACTCAGCCCACCATGACCACGACCGCGACCGCCATTACAAACGCTAACAACGTCAACGAGCACAATAAGAGAAACTAACACCACATTTATGCTAGGCCTCATGATCAAAGATATTTATCCAAAAACCCAACTTTTGAGTATGAGTTTGTTTTCTGAACACGTAATATGAAATGCACCAGGACTCTAGGAGTATATATAGCCTTGGAAAAGCTAGTTTCGAAGTAGCTATTTTGGTTTCCTTGAGCTATAAATTAATCAATTAAATACTTTTTAAGTGATCTCGATTATCAATTGTATAACATTCGATGTTCTTCATGATACATTTTGATATGTAATTGAAGTATATGATTCGTTTGGTCAACTACTTGTTTAATTGCAACATACATGTAGCTGCTAGCTAATCATCGCTCCTTATTCGTTGAATAATGGCCGCTATTGACCAAATGAAAAACAAAAAGAAGAACAACAGCTTGGGGAAAGAACGTAGACGTTACTTTACATATTAGGATTTAGGGTTAGAGTGCTAGCAATCTTCCTTTTTTCTTTTTTTTTTTCGTTCCAACTTTCTCATTTTTTTTTTTTTTTTTTTTTTTTTTTCAATTTGCAATGTAACTGAAGGATTCAAACGATTTATTTTCTAAGTCGTCCTTCAAAGATCAAGTCTTGCTAAAAATCAACCAAATCTAAATCTGTTTAGTCATATGACGGTTGTCCAATTAATAATAATCTAAATTACATAATAAAATAGAAAACTTCATTTTAATCCTTAAAAAATATGAGTGTTAGACTATAACCTTGTGTAAGATTAAAATCCAATTTTAGTCCCTAGTACATTTAATCATCTCATTTATTAGTTATATTTTGATGTTTTATTTATCTTTTTATTTTTATTTTAATGTATTAATTACATTTAAATTTAATTTTTATTTCATTTATCATAATATATTTTAATGTCTACATTTAGGCAACTAATTTTTTTTTTTTTATAATATATATTCCAATAACAATTTTGTATGCTTCATTTAGGTACATTAATACATTTGAATATTTCGGTATATTCATCGATACAATCATATAGGTACATTAATTCAATATAATGCATTTCGGTACGTATATTTTGGTACACACATTTGAGTATTGACTTTTAGGTACATTAATTCAATATACTATATTTCGATACATACATTTTGGTACACGCGAGCAAATGTCTGGAAGCTGACAGAAATTCAATGTTTCATGGTAGCTAAGGTATATACTTTCTGTTAATATAATGCATGATTTTGTAAGTCCCAGGATCAATTATCTAAGTTGTCTGCTGTTGTTTTTCCTTAAGAAACATAACAAATATGTAATGGCTGGCAATATATAGAGTTTCAATCTGGCAATGTGTGTGTGTGTGTGTGTGTGAAGCTTTACGGGCATAAAGCACACATGACCATTAAAAAAAGTCAGAACAGCTCGTTTTCTAGCCATGTACGTCTGTTCGTGGACTTTGATCACAAATGCTAGTTAAAATCTCTTTCATTCAAAGCATAATATATCATATATGTGCTGTTCGATTTGGGGATAGCTTCAAATCAAAGATTTGTTTTGGATATTCTTGATTAACCACATATTAATCTCGCCACGTCGATCTTTATGCTCTTGTAGAACTGGAGTCCAATAATCCGATAATATTCATAACATTTAAATTAATGTTAATGATAATGTTAATCAACTTTCTAGTTTATATCTCAAGAAACCATCATTAAAGTCATGCTGAAACACCTTGAAGAGAAAGCTAAGGCACTGAAGTGAAGATGAATACACATAAATATTACTTTGTGACAAGATTTTGCTATGGTTAGTCGTTACACAAAGTATAAATGGATGTTAATTAGTATGTGACCATACATGCTTAAGCGACTAACCGTAACATAACTCTACTTGATCTAAGAAGCATATATTATCACAAATGCATTACCTAGCAAGAAAAATAGAGCCTTGGGTGTTATGTGTAACCTCTAGCCATAAATCGCTCTAAAAGCGCTCAAAGGCCTAATGTGAGATTCCGTATTTTTGGAATTTGTTTAAATGTTACTATTTCAATCCCTTTTTGAGCTAAAGCCTTTACGCCATCCCATCTGTTGTATTAGTTACTAAACCTTATTATTTGTGTACAACCGTAAAGGTTTTCGGATTATTTATATTAGAGAAGTTTGTTTTTCTTTTTATTTTTACTTTTATTCTCGCTCCACCGCAAATCTGGGGCGTGACACCTAAACCTGAAAACAATTTGTATAAGCATGTAACTTTTAATATCAATACTACTTAATCAAATGCAAAATTTTATCATTTCCAGTATTAATCTTTCTCGCACATATCTTATTTGGGCGATAAGACAGCAAGAATCGAGACTTTCACTCTAACCACCACATAATATACACATTGATCTTTTTCTCTTTTCTCCCCTTTCTGATAAAACAATATTAGTGGGGTAATTTGAGCCAAGTCACACAATAAGCTAGTTATAATGAGGTATCGAACTCGCCACTTATGAAAGTTGAATCTGAAACCTCTCATATACAAATGAAGAAAAATATCATTAGACCGTATTACTACCGACAAACATTAACACAACTCTAGCTATGGCATGCATCAAAATAAGTAGTATATATACACGTAGGATGACATTTTCTCTATCTATAAAACAACGCTTAAATTAGGTTTATAATAAATCCTAATAAGAATGAAAGTAGAATAGATGAAGATTTCAAAAGGACTTTAAAATTCGTAATAAATTCATGGGTACCCTGCTGCCATGCAATTCTCCCAAAAGAGGCTATCCACCATTTCATCCATGTTGCTAAGTACACCAACCAGCTTTGATTCCACTTCTTCTTCCTCATATCCTGAGGCTGCTCCTTCTGAGTACTGCAGCCACACCTTGCTATGACACCAACTCCGCGCCCGACGCTGATCTTCTACACGATCCTTAGAGTAATTATGATCACAAGCACCAAATGTATGAGAGCTACATGATTCTGCGTCATCATCTTCAAGTAGTACTAGTGCTGCTTTAGTAGTGTGATGGTCTGCTGCCTCTGAATCTGCAGTGCCTTCAAATAAAAAGAAACAAGAAACATCAACAAAATTACCCTCCTTGCAAGCCATAATCTTCACCACTACTATTTCATCGAGTTAATAAGCTTTGTGATGGTTTTAATTAGGTGGGTTTTGATCTTGACAGTTCGTTTATAACATTTTTTTTTATAGCTAGGGCTGTAGTTTAAAACCTTCCTTTTTGTTGATGCAATAGTGACAAAACGCACTCTTCACTCCTGTTTGGTCAAAATGTGGTAGGTTAATTCTTGCTTGACATTCCAATTTGGTGGTGGGTTTTATGTCATCCATCCACTCCATCTTTCAAAGTATCTTGCTATTCATCTTCCACACAAGAATGCTAGACAGTGCGAATTTAATGTCGGGAAGATATGCCTTATACACGTTACAATGTAATGAATGGCTTCACGATTAATTATATCGAAGAGGAATGGAAGAATTTCACATTGAAAGTTTGATAAGCTACAACATCTTCAATAACTAATTATATTGATGCCTTTTGTGCTAGAACCTCACGCACGTTGTGGTAATATGTGGTAATATGCAAGTCAAGAAAAATATCGATGTTGATTAGTAATGAGTTGATCTGTCTTGCAGGTGCAAGTACGATCCACTACTAGGATAACACCAGTATAAAGTCTCTAAACTGGTTAACCAGCACGAGTAAAAGCACTAATAGAGGAAGGGAATGAAGCACTCGTGTACTTGATTATCATTCTAAAGTGGGTTTTGATAATCCCAAAGTTCGATGGTTCATTTTGTGATTAGAACCGACTCCTCAAATGCTGATCTTCATTAGCACAAAAGTAATACTGTAATTATTGAAGGCGCACTAGCAAAGCAAGGATACTTGAAATCTTGAACTCACCCTTTTCACCAACCCTTAATGGGGGTTTTACCGACAAGTATCCAGTGTTTCAAATTTGTGATTTTTGAAATTATTTTTTTTAGCTGAGGATGTGTTGTTGCTTGCATCCTCAAGAGATCATGTGTGGATTCAAATCCTTTGACCCCAAAGGGAATGTTAGACAGTTTTAGCCACTTGCTTTTCTAATTCAATGTTTCGGAATTAAATCACGCGAGGAGAGAGACAAACTGGTATGATACACCCCGAAACAGAAGGGACAAGTTTTGGTGCACTAGAACACCCTGAATTTGCTATTTGCAATTCAAAGATGTAGTAATAATATAGTCCCCAATTTCTGGAATGGGATGCTTGATGCATAGGCAGCAAGGTTTTAGTTTGTAGCCATGGTGCATAAAGAGCGAAGAGACTGAGGCAAGAGTAACATAAATTTTTCGCAAACTATAGATGCGTACTGGAAGAACCAACCAAAATGGCTACATACATTCAAAAACTGTTGATCATGTTCCCCAGGACAAGAACGATACGTTACATAAATAAGAGGAATGAAATAATTTTCGGGATAATCAAGGTCACCTCTAACGTTGTTCAACTAGAAGAAACGATGTCATCTTTTACAATATTTCTCAGATTGATCTCCTGCTAATACTGTTATCTTCTTCCTGCAGAGCCACACAAAAAACTGTTTAGTGTTTAATAAACCGAACTTGTTTACAAAAAAAATCTTCGGCAGTTACAACGTCTAACTAGCAAGTAAACCGTAGGTGCAGTTTTGAGAGTTAACATTCTCGTAAATCAGATGTTTTACCATGATAATGAATATATTCAGTTACATGATACTTTCGACGCTTAGTTCAAGCTGAGTCAATAAACAGAATCTAATACTATCAGCTATCATTAAAATTTTGTAAACACATATGTTAGTCAAAATCAATCGATCACGGAAAGAAATGGCCGAGTTCATAAATAATATCTGTGTTATGTAACTCTAATGGATATTTGAAACAAAACAAGGCAGATAACACCCCCGATAAAAATGGCTTAGAATCGTGACCCCCAGCCAGAAGTTGCGAGGGAATAGGAAATAAAGAAAACAAGATAGTGAATTAGAGTCTGCTAGCAACTGTGAATGTCGAATTGTATAAGGGCTAAAAAAATATCAGTTCTTGAAGTCGTAAATTCTACCAAGCAATTGGATAGTAATGTGCCGATCTCTAGATCCCAACTATGATGTGGTCAAACAAACCTTGTGAACATGCAGCCATCCAACTTAGGATTCCTTGCTTGCTTCTGCATCACGATTTCTCCAAGGATTGAGAGCTTCCCTGACAGCTTGGGCCTCCGGTGAATTTTCATAAGCCCGTTTCTCTGACTCCAGAACAGTTACTTTGTCATCTGCATGTATGAAAAGAGGACAATTAAGAATTACATTATGCAAGAACAAAAAATAGTCATAAGAGAGAACGCAACAGGCGCTCTTTCAGATAATGTGGTACAGAACAATTCAACTCGATTATACCAAACAGAAAAAGGAATCTATTTTGTAGAACAACGAAACCAAATTTTATCGGAAATGACAATAAAATTACAAAAAGTGGACAAGACGACCACAAGTAAAAACAGAAAGCACACAGCAAATCAGCAGACTAAATCCCCTAAAACTGAAACAGTTATGAGAAGAGAAACTCCATTAAGCTAACTAATTGCAGATTTCCAATCAAGCAAAAGAGCAGTTTGAAACAATATTAACATGCGAAGGCAACTAGTCTCTTGTAAAGAGGGGACGATACAGAGTGGAGGCTTTTTGCAGAAAACAAAAAAATGCTAAGAGTAGTGGAGAACCGAGGTTAGAGGGCGATGGGAGCGAAGGAACAACTTAGATGGCCCAACCATAGTCAAACTCAAAGGGCACCCCAATGACGGCTCAAATGCGGAGCAAGACAAATCAAAGGAAATATTTAGTTGATCAAACTTCAAATCTTTCAATCCCAGAAACCATTTGGGAGTAACCAGCACAACTGGTAATTGGTTACATTTGCACACAAATTCCAATTGAAAGGGTTCTAAATTCAATAAAATCCATGTGAATGTGAAACCTCATCTAAGTTGAGTTCAACCAAAACAAATGATATTTCTGTCTGATCCCTTTTCACAATTTTCCTACTGCAACTCTGATATTTGGTTTCACAAACTACAATTTAATTTACAAAAAACAAAAATTACGGGAACAATTTATGAACAATTATTGCAATATTGCTCCATTAATTATGTCATAAAATGAAACAACAGGTACATAATCAAAAGAAAGAAAAGGGTAATGATGAAATGGAGAGTTCTCACACAGAAGCCGGTCTTGATCATGAAAAACTCCATGGAAGCTCCAACCAGAGCCGACCCGAATGCGATCTTCAAATACCAATCCAGAAACTTCATTTTCCACTACACATAAAGAAAAATCAAAACTCCAATTTCAGCAACTGTATATGTGTGTGTGTGTGTGTGTGTGTGTATTATGATCAGGGCATGCTTTCACTTAAAGAATTACAAGGTAAGAACGAGAGCTCGAGATTTATACGGCTGAAGTCTGAACAGTAGACGGAGCTCTGGGAGGCTGAGACTCTCCGACCGCGATAGTGACGAGTTTCTCCGTCTTTTCGAGTTTGGACTGGATAACTTCGGAGATGGGCCTGCGTTTTGGGCTCCAGGTTTTTATGTGTAACTAAATCCCCACCAATATTTTCTTCTGTGAAAAATTTAGGCTCGTGTGGGTTTTTAATTTTCAATTTAATTTTGACTTTTTTTTTAACTGAAAATTTAAATTTGTTTGGTAACTATTTTTGTAAATTGAAAATTGAAAACTACTTTCTTGAGTTTTAAAACTTGGCCTTAGGTTTTCATTTGTTTTAGTTTTTAATTTTCATTTTCATAAAAACTGAAAACCACAAACTAAAAATATGAAAACAAAAAGCGAAATGGTTATCAAACTACCCCTTAGAAATACACTTTCAATAGGAGAGGGGACATTCTATTTTGGCTTATTTTGGCCTTCAAAATTCCAATTTAGTGTTGAAAGTTGAAACCTCCTAAAAATTGCATAACTTTCTTAAAAGAAATAAAATAAGCAGAAAATCAAAGTCTTACTTGTAAGTGTCATAGTAGATTAAAGAAGAATACTCTAAAGTTTTTGTGTCAGCTTTATAACATTCCTCCTAATCCTAAATTCTACATTACCTTGTTAGATAGAGAGTATTCTTATTCAATTCACTGCGTTTAGCATTCAAACTCTCTCTGTCTTTTATATAAATTAGAGTAGTGATATCATTTGCAGTAAAATTTACACTAACCAAATCATACTTTTTCCTTGAATTGACCTTGAAACCACCTAAACACAACCGAATCGCATAATTTGTATTATTTGATTGAACACTTGCAATATATTCTTCGACAATAATAAGTTTTTTCCAACTACTATTTGGTGTACGCATATGAAGTTTGATATGAAACTATGATGAAATGAAAGACTGATTTGGCATTGCTGAAATTATTTTAAAAGCTTCTTTTTTTTTTTTAATTGGGGTTAAATTGTGTTTAGTAAATGAAAAAAAATAATGATTTTGTCAAAAATCATGAGTTCAAAACAGCAGATAGCATAAGCAGCTCTATCCTTACTTCTGAAAACAGCTTTTTTTTTTTTTTTTTTTTTTTCCCACAAGACAGCAACCCAAACTGATCGAACCCAACGTGTGGTTTGATTTATTTATTTCATGACACGTGGCTCATGAGCTTAATTATGCATCACCTTATCATATACCTTTGTGAAAGGAAAAAGAATCTGATACCAGCCATAATAACCGACGGTAGACGGACGTTTGTGCTTCTCTTTTGGTTTGTCTTTGGTGGACCAACGTTTGGATGATGACAATGCTTAATATTCAAGTGTAATGCTAGGTACATTAATTTTTTAGATTAAATATATAAATTATATGATGTGTTATTGATAAAAAATTAGCACGTTAATTAGCATTTAATTAATAATTCAATTATCAACAATTACTATATAATTTACAAAATTTAATCTAAATAACCAATCTCACAAATATTAAATGACATGGGCCCGACAAAACTACATGTGAGTTACTTTTCATCGTCCCATCTCATGAAATACAGAGAGATTGCATTGGTCCATGCTTTCCTCGTGTACCATACAAAATCCACTTGGTGAAACAAAAAGGGATGTGCAACACAAAATTACTTCCAAATTGCTTTTCCCAATTTGAGCTTAATGTTCTATTGAGAATCACTAGAATTGTGTAATTATACTGATATCTTAAAGTACATGTTAGATAAAGAATTTGATTTGTAATCATCTGTTTAGTTATAGCATGTATTATAATAATGTAATTTTTCAGTTATAATTAGTGTAAGATTTTTACGGAATTTGGTTTTTTTATTATTATAATAATAATGTTAGCGAGTTAAATTATTAAATTTTATAAACAAACACTAGCATGCTTTGTCTCGGTCAAACCAAGCTTCTTGTCCATTAGCTGTCATCCCTCGAGGTTTCCAGTCTAGAATTATTTTACTTGTGTTGAAACCCTAGCAGATCAATACGTGGAGTAATCCTAGCCAAACCGTCTTTTTTTTTTTTTGCTCGGTCTGAAAAGTAAATTTCATTAGTCCTATATTAGTGTGTCTACTTTCTTATTAGTGATTAAATTGAGCTTAATAAAGATTTGATCTCTAGGCGTATTTGAATCACATTATTATATCTAACTTAATGTGAAGCTTAGCTCATTATCTCATCTCTTAGTATATTATGATCAGGGCATGCTTTCGCTTAAAGAATTACAAGGTAAGAACAATAGCTCGAGATTTATATGTCTGAACAGTAGGCAGAGCTCTGGGAGGCTGAGATTCTCTGACTGCACGAGTAACGAGTTTCTCCATCTTTTCGAGTTTGGACTGGATAATTTCGGAGATGGGCCTGCGTTTTGGGCTCCAGGTTTTTATGTCTAACTAAATCCCCACCAATATTTTCTTTTGTGAAAAATTCAGGCCTGTGTGGTAAACATATCGTTTTTAATTTTCAATTCAATTTTTACTTTTTTTTTAATTGAAAATTCAAATTTGTTTGGTAACTATTTTTGTAAATTGAAAATTGAAAACTACTTCTTTGAGTTTTCAAACATGGCCTTGGGTTTTCATTTTTATAGTTTTTAATTTTCATTTTCATTAAAAACTGAAAACCACAAACTAAAAAAATGAAAACTAAAAGCGAAATGGTCACCAAACTCCCCCTTAGAAATACACTTTCAACAGGAGAGGGGGCATTCTATTTTGGCTTATTTTGGCCTTCAAAATTCCAATTTAGTGTTGAAAGTTGAAACCTCCTAAAAATTGTACAACTTTCTTAAAAGAAATAAAATAAGCAGAAAATCAAAGTCTTACTTGTGAGTGTCGTAGTAGATTAAAGAAGAATAAAGTTTTCATGACAGCTTTATAACATTCCTCCTAATCCTAGATTCTAGATTACCTTGGTAGATAGAGAGTATTCTTATTCAATTCACTGCGTTTAGCATTCAAACTCTCTCCCTTTTTTATATAAATTAGAGTAGTGATATCGTTTGCAGTAAAACTAACACTAACCAAATCATAGTTTCTTTGAATTGACCTTGAAACCACCTAAACACAACCGAACCGCATAATTTGTATTATTTGCTGCATAATTTGTATTATTTGCTTGAACACTTGTGATATATTCTTCGACAATTATAAGTTTTTTTTTTCAACTATTATTTGGTGTATCCTTTCCACTAAGTCCATCAAGACACACAATCTGGCTTTTTGAAAATTTAATCCAACGGCTACAAACAAGGGATCACTTTAAAAATTATAATAACTTTAGTTGTTGAATCAAATTTCAAAAGCTCGTATTGTGTGCCTTGATAGACTTGGTGGAAAGAATCCTTTTCCTTCCTTTGAGTACCATACAAAAACCGCTTGGTGAAACAAAAACGGGTGTGCAACACAAAATTACTTGCAAATTGCTTTTCCCAATTTGAGCTTAATGTTCTATTGAGAATTACTATACACTCCAAACTTTTTATATTAGGAAAGAAAAATACACTTGTGAGGAGTGTAGAATGAGATTTTTGGAGTGTCAATAACACTTCCCTTACTAGAATTGTGTAATTACATTGATATCTTTTTTTTTTTTTTCAGATAAAGAATTTAATTTGTACTCATCTGTTTAGTTATCACATGTATTATTACAATGTAATTTTTTAATTATATAATTAGTGTAGGATTTTTACGGAATTTACTTTTTATTTTTATTATAAATAATAACATTAGCGAGTTAAATTGTTAAATTTTAAGAACGAATGCTAGCATGCTTTGTCCATTGGCTCTCTTCCTTCTAGGTTTCTACTCTAGAGTTATTTTATTTGTGTTGAAACCCTAGCAGATCAATACGTGGAGTAATCCTAACCAAACCCTCTATTCTTTTTCTTGGTCTGAAAAGTAAATTTTATTAGTCCTATATTAGTGTGCCTACTTTCTTATTAGTGATTAACTTGAGCTTAATAATGCATATTTAAATTACATTATTACTAGCTTTCATGCATGTGCTCACGCATGTGCATAAAGTATTTTTTGAATTACAGCATACTACGTGTGACTTACATGTTTAAATATATTTAGAGTAAATTGACAAAAGAAAAGTCAAATATTTGAAGTAAATGAATAATCTTAGATCATGCTAAAAGAAAGCTCTCATAAACCAATTAAAGCAACTGAATTCACATAATAAAATCGGTCTCTATAGAATTTCAATTAAGAATAGAGAAAATAATATTTAATAAATAATTGATTGAATCACATTATTACTAGCCCATTGTGAGGCTAAGCCCACCCTCATCCCCCCTTAGTGTAAATAATATCGTTTATTAAAAAAAAAAAACAATCATTTAACAACTAATTTAATCACATTATTATTCGTATGCGAAATACCTTTTTTATAACCAGCATTACACACCACTTAAGATGTTTTGAGCGTGTTTAAAAATAGAGAAAATAATATTTAATAAACAACTTATTGAATCACATTATTGCTAGCCCATTGTGAGGCTAAGCCCACCCTCCTCCCCCTTAGTGTAGATAATATTGTTTGTTAAAAAAAAAAAAATCATTTGATAACTAATTTAATCACATTATTATCCGCAAAAACCCTTTTTTTATAACCAGTATTACACGACTCTTAAGATGTTTTGAATATGTTTAAAAGTAGATAAATTGAATCACATTATTGCTAGCCTATTGTGAGGCACTAATTAAAAAAAATAGCACAAAAAAATTAATTATTAAAAAAATACTATTAAAATGACAAAAATACCCCTGCCTTATTTGATGCATTATTTTGGGATGTCTTTGAAGTTTGGGAAATTTTATTTGAACTCACGTAACCTCTAACACCCAACTTAAATTTAAATTGTTAATTGTCTATTTTACCCTATTGCATAATTACTATTAAGTACAAAATGAAATTAATAATAAAACTCAAATTTAACCTATTAAACCCTACCATCACTTCATGTTTATCAGACATTCATTCTAGCTAAAACCCTAATAGGTCTTGTAGAAAAAAAAAAAAACAAGTTTTTTTTTTATTGATGGATGGTGATTTTGAAGTTTTGAATCCTCCAACTATGGTATGACTCAATTTATGAATATTTTGTTTGTTTGATTTCAATTTTTTTAAAGTTTAGAAGATGAGTATTTGAGTTTCAATTTTTTTCATCAATCCCGAATGGTTTGTAAAACTTTTTGCAATTGGAAAATTCTAAGGAAAATGTCACATCCCGGCCCGGGTGGGACGACTTCCCGGGGTCGCTCCACCACCGTAGCACGATATTGTCCGCTTTGGGCCCCCACCACGCCCTCACGGTTTTGTTTTTGGGAACTCATATGAGAACTTCCCGATGGGTCACCCATCCTGGGAATGCTCTCGCGCGCTACTAGCTTAACTTCGGAGTTCCCATGGAACCTGAAGCCAGTGAGCTCCCAAAAGGCCTCGTGCTAGATAGGAATGGGAATATACATATAAGGATCACTCCCCTGGACGTTGTGGGATGTCACAATCCACCCCCCTTAGGGGCCCGACGTCCTCGTCGGCACACCACGGCTAGGGTTAGGCTCTGATACCAAATTGTCACATCCCGGCCCAAGGTGGGTCACTTCCCGGGCCCGCTCCACCACCGTAGCACGATATTGTCCGCTTTGGGCTTACCATTTCCTCACGGTTTTGTTTTTGGAAACTCACGAGCAACTTCCCAGTGGGTCACCCATCATGGGATTGCTCTAGCCCCCTTCTCGCTTAACTTCGGAGTTCCTACGGAACCCGAAGCCAGTGAGCTCCCAAAAGGCCTCGTGCTAGGTAGAGATGGGAATATACATATAAGGATCACTCCCCTGAGCGATGTGGGATGTCACAGAAAAACTTCTTACCAATGTTCTTAAATTATAAACTTCCTTGCTTGTTGATAAATATAAGGGGATGAATTGTTTGATTTGTTGCTTATGCACATCAGTAAAAAGAAAAAAGACAAATGTCTGGGTTTGGTAGCAGAAAGAAAAAAAAAAGTAGCCACGGAAATACTAGTGGGGAAGAGAGGGTGGGGCAAGGACGCCTCTTTTTTATTTTATTTTATTTTTTTTAAATTCAATTACAGTGTTATTTTATAAAGGAATGAGTGTAAATATAAATTAATATTTTGAATTGGGTTTGAGATGATATTTTAGGTAATAAATTTGGGTTTAAAGAGAGATTGTTTCTTTAATAAAAAACAATATTGGTGAATAGAGTAAGTTGGTGTAAAGAGATGTTATATGAGTTCAAATAAAATTTTCCTTAAAGTGTTTTGTCTTAGGGGTATTTTTGTTGAAACTTGGTGACACCAAAATCAATATTCACTTTTCCATTGACCTTATATATAAATAACTAATTCCGTGTGAAGTTTTTAGTTCATTATCTCATCCCTTAGTGTGGATAATATTGTTTTTTTTAAAAAAAATGATGATGATAGAGGTATTGTATTCAATTTTCAATAAAATTTACTTTTCAGAGAATTCTTCAATCACGTCTGTTCATCGTATATTGTGCGGGTTAGTTTTCGTCAGATATTGTTTATATTTAATTTTAGATAAAAATCAATAATAATTTCTGATGGCAATATATACGATAAACGGAAGTGATTGAAGGATTCCCGAAAAGCATCCGACAGCATCCTCATTCAATCCTCTCGGGAAACAAATGGGTAAGTGAACGAACAACGAGACGAAAACCTCTGCTCAACTTCAGACAAAAGTTACAAAACTTCTCGTCATCTTCCTCCGCGACCTGACCAGACGATCGTCCTCCCAGATAATTCCATGTATTTTCTCACCAATTAAATAGCATTTTCCATTATTCTAATAAATTAATTTAAATTAAAACCACTACAATTCTCCAATTCCTTAATAATCTTTCAGTCTCTCACTCTCTCACTCTTATATTTGCTGGGTTCTTGTTTTTCCTTCCCAAAAGTAATTCTTGGGGTCATCAGTAATAACAATGCTAGCTGCTGAATCAGTCCCCAATGGAGCTGCAGAACCTCCTCCTTCTCCTCAGGTTTATATCTCAACTTCCCCATCTCTCACCTGTTTTTGTATGTTTTCCACGTTTGCATTTACTGTTTCTGCAACTTTTTGGATGCAACCTATGCTTTGCTTTCGCAAGGTTTGAACTTTTTTGTGTGGATAAAGTGGAGGATTTGAACTTGATTTATCATTTTTTAGCTCAAGAAATCAACTGGGTAAAACGAAGATTTTTGCCGGGACGATTTATTTGCCGTGTTGCTTGCTTTATTAGGGGGTGTATTTAATTGAGATTAAAAGAGTTATAAGTCTATGGACTCCATAGACTTTATGTGATTTTTGAGTGGAGTCTTAAGGGAGAGGTCTGATTTTATAAAGCCTAGAAACACTATAAAAATCCCTCCAAATCCATTAAAATCTTCATCTTTTAAAATACTTTAAAATCAAATCTTAATTGAATGCGTATGGAGTTTTATGAACTGCTTTAAAATCCAAAATTAGACTCAGATTCTGTGGAGTTCTACAAGCTCTTTTAAAATCCTGACTGAATATCTATGGACTTTCATGGATTCATTTAAATTCTTGATTGAATACACAAGAATTTGTAAACTCTTTTATAATCTTTAAACTCCTAATTGAAGCTGGATTTTTGGTTATTTTTGTCTCTGGTGGTTGGATTTCAGACGAGAACTAATGTTACCTGATAAAGTTAAGCATGAAACTTTAGGGGTACCCCTTGCCCAGTTTCTGGTTTCACTGGTTTAATGCTATTTTTCATTACTAGTTAAAACTACTCCCAAACTGTTACATTCTCTTTTGCCCTCCTTTATTAGTATTTTGCAGATCTTGATTGTGTACTGCAAGCTGCTTTTCTGTTACTTTTTTTCTGATTATTGCAGATATGATCTGTTTTTTAGTAACGGTTAAAAAACCCGGAGTATACTAGAAAATCCCAAATCTTTATAGCCATTTGGGTTGTTATTGTATGAAAAGTTTGTGTCTTTTCATTTTGTTAATTGATATAAGAAATCTTCTGAAAGCTTATAGACCAAATGAGATGTAGCATTAGATATTTTGTTTTGTGAAGGCTGGTTTCCAAAATCTGAAGACAGTAAATGAAGAAGCTACCGACCTGGAACCTACTGGGAGGCGCCCAGACATATCACTTCAGATACCCCGAAGGCCTGTGGGTTTTGGCAGTAGCCGTAGCGGAAAGGGTTTACTGCAGTCTCAAGGTTCCTTTAAGGGCAGCTCGCTATCAGGGGGCCTTTTCCGGGGTTTAAGCTTCAAGAGAAAAGGCAATCAACCGGATGGTGAGAGAAGCTCCCTCCTTAATTCAGACCCCAGTAGAGATCCTGAAAGATGTACCTCTCTTCCTGTTACACCGATATCAAATTTGTCCGCCTCTGTTGCTACACCCAGCTCTGCGAGGATGTATAATGAAGTGCACAAGCCACGTGTAAGTGGTCATGCATTCTACAGTTTCCCTAGTTTTTGAGATTTCACATGAACTTCTTTGCATTTGGAGGTATAAAACTGGTAATGCAACAAAAGATCATAATCTTCCAAACAAAAATTATGATTGATGATTTACCTAGAGACATTGTAGATTGTTTTTTTATCCCCTAAATGCTGTTTCCAAGAATGATGTCTGAGCGTTCATTGTCCCGAAAATGGAATCTGATTTACGTTTTCAGTTTAGACACTCAAGTTACCTCTTAACTGTGTTATATGATAATTCGGGTCAATTTTTCCATTAAACTACTATGTATGTACTATGAAAAAGAAAATTAAATCTGAATCTTTGTGCTTCTTCTAATTTTTTCCTCATTAATGCTTCCTAAAAATGGCTTGTTAATCAGGAAGTCATCCAACTGAAAGAGATGGTTGTGATTAATTGTGTGCAGAAAGAAACTACAACAGTTTTGAGGTCCCTTTCCATGCCTGGATGTAATAAAGTCATTGTAAGATCCGTATCTTTTGCAACTCGAAATGAGCAGACTCAAGCAGATCCTAGTGATGGTATGTAGTGAATCTATTATTCTGGTTTTTTGTTCATGCTGCAAATACAACTCACATATTTGTAACAATGAATGAATTTACTCACTACATTTCAACTACTTTTGGCTTATGTATTCCTCTCTCTCTCTCTCCCCTCTAACTTTATTTTCGGCAAATTAGATCAAATAACTCCAGTTCCAGTGGAGGCCAATGATGAAGAAATTCCTGAAGAAGAAGCAGTGTGCAGGATATGTCTTGATGTATGTGATGAACAAAATACGCTCAAAATGGAATGTTTTTGCAAAGGTGCTCTTAGACTTCTACATGAAGAGTGTGCCATTAAGTGGTTCAGCACAAAAGGAAACAAGAAATGTGATGTATGTGGTCAAGAGGTTCAGAATTTACCTGTAACATTGCTTCGGGTGCAGAGCACTGCTCAAAGGGGTAGTGGACAGCAGCGCAACCAACAGGGTTTGCATCCAGAAACGATAAGGTGAGATAATGCGGTATTGAGATCCTTTCCATTTATGACTTTGATAGATGGTATTATTTGGAGACTCATGATATCATGACTAGTAAAGGGAAAGAAAAAACAGGTAGAAACCTTTTCATGAAGCATCCATTTCGGTTGAGTCATGAATGTCCAATTAGAATTCTCTAACATTAAATGCCAGAAGAGGCTAAGTCATATCGATTGGATCCAAATCATATTTTCTTATCTTGTAGAGACAAATTTCAGCCATCATAGCCACATCATTGGCAGGCGACAGTGCTACTGTAGGGTTCTCTTTCTGATCAAGTCACACCTGTGCATTATTTGTAGAATTCAACTTATGATAGATATCATGCTTCCTTTTTTACTCTTTTATAGCTAATGAAGTCGTATTTAATGCAGTGCCTGGCAGGACTTTGTGGTACTGGTCTTGATTAGCACAATATGCTATTTCTTCTTCCTTGAGCAGCTACTGGTATGCCATTCTTCTGGTGAAAAAAACTTTAGAACTAAGAATTTGATTTCCGCTAAACTAGAACTTGTTTGTGTCTCCTGATGAGTTTGATATCCTCCAATAAAATTCAAAATAATCCAATCTAATTGTGTGTAATTAGACCATACCAAGCACTATGCAAGACATTGTGTAAGAACGCCTAAATTATGCGGCTCCAGGTGCCATGAAATATTATCTGTTCATTTGTATGGTCTACAAACTATCTGAGCACATACAGGGTCCCAAAAAGAACGCATTGAAAGAAAGGACAGAACTGGTTCAAGTTGTGACTGATAGTTGGCGTAACAATGCTAATTCTACGTCTTTTCCAATGTGTAGATTCGTGACTTGAAAACTAGAGCGATTGTAATTACAGCACCGTTTGCATTTACATTGGGTCTCTTGGCATCCACATTCGCCATCATCCTTGGTATAGCAGAGCATCTGAGATTTCTGGTTCTCTTCTGTCTAAGTTTATAACCGTCTAACCATTTGCTTGTTTAATTGCAGCAATCAGGGAGTACATATGGACATATGCAGCTCTGGAGTTTGCGCTTGTCGCCCTCATCGTCCACCTGTTCTACAGCTTAGTGAGTGATGCTTTCGATTCGTGATTTTATCCAAACCCTGTCATAATATGCTCCATGATCTGCGTGCGTTTTTCTGTTGCTTACTGCGGTTTTTTCTACGGTGCACCAAACTGCCTAATGCCAGACTACGTGTGCTTGATTATTTCACAATTTGCCTTATTAACTAAATCTTTTTTGTTCTTTCTTTCAGCTTCATCTGATGGCCATTTACGCGATATTGCTTGCTGCAGTGTTGGGTTTCGGAATAGCGATGAGCCTCAACTCATTGTACATGAAATATTTCACCTGGAGAGTTCAAGTTGCACAATCTCAAAGCTCTAGCCCTGTATGACTCATTCCTGGATTTAACAGTTGCACCATATGACTTGTAGCAAAAGAGTCAGACTGCTAAATGTGGCATCCTTTGTCTTTATGTTCATAATTTTTTTACTTAAAGTTTTGTAAACAATGTTGCGCCATTGGGGCGGGGGAATGGAGGAAGACGACCTCGAGTACAAGGGTAGATGCTCTTGAACCACCTTGGTTTGGTTAAAGGACGTAACATGTACAAGTTAAAGCAAGCACTATTGGTTTGCTTTTATGAGCTCAAACCCGTAACTCCGAACAATGAGAGCTCAAACTCATTGGTGGTTTCTATTGGATTGGATCGGATTGGATTGGATAAGCCACCGCATTCTAGGTATACTGATGCCAGAAATGGATGTCGACTTTGAAACCTTGTTCAAGCTAAGGGTGGAAGATAAATTAGACGTGAAGAAAACTTATTGCGTCCTCCTTGGTAGGATTGGAAGTGCGACGTTTCCTTCACTAGTCCATCTTCTACTTTAAACTTGGATACGATTGGAAGTGGATATCCATTTCTTCCTTCAACATAATCCAATCCAATCCAATCCAATACGCACCAAACTAGGCCTAAAAGTACAAGATTTATAACGTCGAAAATCGTAAGTTGATCTATCTAATAGCATCATCGTCCCTCCCGAGTAATCAAGAATATTCTTATGGTAAAAAAAATAATTTACGTTACAGTAAGCAAATCTTTACATGCAGTAAACAGTAACTAGCTACATCACCCGGTAAAAAAGGGAGAACAAAGAAATCTTCTCACATATTTGCAAGTAGCACGGTTATATACAACATGGAGATATTTACAGGGAAAATATACAAAAGAAAACTCAATTAGTAATGCACATTATTGCAACGAAAATGCCTAACCGTATAAAGAAAGAAAGATATTTGAAGAAAAATGAAAAGATGAACAAATATAATTGACCTTATTTATTTTTTGTCACAGGGAGGAACTTACTGCCATCTTTCCTTAGCCATATGGTCGAACGGGTTTTCTTAACTTGATCTGTGAAGAGGCGATGCCTGCCACATCATTTGCGCAAGCGTGTTAGGAAAACCAAGATACGAATCCTCGATACACATAATCTTTAGTTTCTTCCGTTATTTTAAAGAGAACAAAACCAATTGAATACAATGATGAATATACAAGAAAAAGAGATTACTTTCGAACAATAAGGATGAAATCCTGGAAGTAAAACTAACCTTTCAAACTCCAGCTTCTGAGTAACAATCCCATTCAAAAGCAACTCTGAGCTGTAAACTGTAGCTCCTGAAAGTATAAAGCAGTGTCAAAAAAAAAAAAAAAAAAAAAAAAAAAAAACCCTCGTATTCTTATAGGGGTGTGATATTAACACACCCCTTTTTACTTCTCACACACCCTTCTAATTTTCGACCGTCGGATTGGATGAATTGAAGAAGATCAACGGACAAAAATTAACAAGGGATGTGAGAGAAGTAAAAATAGGTGAGTGAATAGAACCCCACTTCTTATAGATACTTGGTAAATAAAAGCAATGTCTGCTAACCTTTTTCAAGTAAAGGCACACAAATTTCATAATCTTCTTCACAAGATAGAACCAACAGATCATCTGGAATTTTATCAGCCTCCAAAACAGATCTACCAATTCTTTCTATAGCCTAATGAGCATTTCGAACAAAATTAAAATCATTTCTGGAATTAATGGCAATCAAAAGTTCAGATAAAAACAGGATGAAGTTTATACGTGCATGCTGCTGTGTATGCATGCATGAAGAGAGAGAAAACCATACCTGGCCATGGACTGCTTTGACCAGACTAGAAATGATTTCTTTACCAGGCTTCGTATTTGGGGTGATGAAGACTTTACGACCCTGCAAAATCATGTGTTAATGGGAATGCAATATAAGTCTAATCTATCTGGGCGCACCAACATAAACACAATATTTACCTCCAGAAGTGGATGCTGGCACGCACGTACCAACGAAGTCGGCATGTTAAAGCCAAACTCCTTCTCCTTCTTGGTATCCCTTAGTACATAGTTTTTCTCATCAATGAAACAACTAGCTTGTCCACAGCTATCAAGCCATAAATGCGTCACCACAGGTTTTCCAGCAGCAATAGCTTCTAACATATTCCTCGTACGCACAAATTGATCTGCTATGAAGTGTGTGGCATCTGTCATAGAGGATGCTACAGAAACTCCTAGTCGGGCCAAAATCTGCAAAAAAAAATTTGCAGATAAGATTAGTTTAGAACTTGCATGTTTAAAAAAAGATTCAACTCACTCACAAAATACCTTTTTCTGATGCTTAATTACATAGTCATCCAAGTGGTGGCTATACAATACTCGAACATCAGTCATATCTCTCCTCTTCCTTAAATCCTTTGATGCTGAAGTTGGTGCATGCCCATTTGCACTTAAGTCACGGATTTCTTTCAAAAGACTTGGCCTTGAAGGGGTCTTCTTGCATGACTGTTTGAAATATTCATTACCCATACAAACTGGAGATGCATCATTGACAGGCACCTTACTGTTAACTGGAGTAGCACAAGCTGAATCCAGTGGTTTGCATTTCCCTAGCGGGGATTCATCCCTCATTTTAGTAGCAGAAGACGGATTTGCATCACTCATCCTGTCAAGAATTCCAACTGCCTCTCCACCAGTTGTAATCTCTGATATCATTATCCCATCCTTATGAGAAGAATTACAACGAAGAGGAGCTTTCCAAGGATCAGTTTTTAAACTGTGATGTGCAAGTTTTCTAGCACAATTCTTGTCACCACGTGTAGCTGATCGGGTTCTTCTTGTTGACTTTACATCAACAAAAATGCTTTGAGCAGCACCCTGCAACCTTGTGTGCCTAGTGACATGTTGTCCAACTTTGTCTGGGTGAACAGATGGGGTTGGTGGATCATTCAAGTTATCAGGCCCATAAACCTGATCAGATAACTTTCTCCTAGATCTTTTTCCTTTGGGGAAGCTTAAAGCATCCAATTTGATGCCATTGCAAATAGCTTCAAACTTGAGATCTGAACCATGATGTTGGCTTGGTTTATGATTTCCAACTTCTCCGGATCGATTGGGACCTGATTTTGAAGATTTTGCATTCAACGCATTAGACACCTGAACACCTGTGAAACTAATTATTTTTTCTCTAGTTGCAACATCCTCTGATTGAGAGCTCGACTCTTCTCCACAATCACTGGATGCATCGTCAGCTTTCTTTAACTGATTTACCACCATAGACCGTCTAGTTCGATGTGCGATCAGCTTAAACGTACCAACATCCTGTTGTAAATGCTTTTTTATAGATCCTTCTGCTCTTAGGCCAATAGCAACAGAAGGCATTTTCTCCATGTTTCTGTTCCCAATGATGTTAAGATGCTTTTTAGCATTGGACTTCCCCTTCTTTGATTTTGCTATCACCAACTTTGTTTCACACTCCTTCCTACCAACCCTCGATTTCTTTGCTTGTCGAGTTTCTCGGGAAACCCCTGCATCAGTTAAACGCCCTCTTTTTCGAGAAGACAGTTTCGTTGAACAAGTTCTATTCTTTGATTTTTCTCCCATCGAACCTTCAGGACAACTCTGATTTCCTTGAGCATCTTGATGGTCATCACTAGCATCACAATTGGAAATCCCTTCACCATAACACAAGGCTTCCATAGCTTCAGCTGCCATTTGAGTATCAAAGCCTACATTCATCATTTCAGGTGCATCGTTCTTATTAATATTAGCATCCAACTGCTCTCTAGGGGAGTCATTGTTAAACTGTTCGTCAAACTCACTGACAAGATTCTTTATATGTTTCATTTCATCTTCATGTGCTGTCTTCTTGTCGACTTTTGAATTATGCAACAATAGTTTTGAATCAGAATGAACTACACCTATTCTCTTGTTCTTTCCTTGTAATTGTTTTTTGCAATCCTTCTCCACATCCTGTCTTTTCTCTTTGGACTTCTGGGGTTGGGGAAGAGATCTCCACCCATGGCTTCCGCCGTCGAAGAAGTCTGCTTTTCTTCGGTGGAAAAATTCACCTCCGTCGAAGAAGTCTGCTTTTCTTCGGCGGAAAAATTCACCTCCTTCTTCATCCTCACGGTTATCATCCCAATCGAAAATCCCTTTATCTATGCTTTTTTCATTGGCTTTCTTGGCCAAAGTTTGTGGCCCTTTTGCACTTGAGACAAATTTTGAAATGTCCCTTGCACTCTTTCCATGGCCAACTTCTTTATTAGACTCATCAAGATTATTTTGGAGGAATTTATCCACAAAATCAAGTGCATTAGCCTGTGATAATTCACCTGGTTCTTGAGAGTCAATATAGCTCAACCCTGCAAAATTACTAGGAAACTGAAGCAAATCTTCAGCTTCTTCATCACTAGCGCTGTTATGAGAAATTTCCGTGTTTTCAGCATCTGAATCCTCAGTAAAAAGTTTTCTTGCTGTTGAACTACCAGTCCTCCATTTGTTCTCATTCCTTGAATCATGCTCCTCGTTGACTTTTCCCCCATCTATGGTCGAACCCCCTAAAAGAGATACTGCATTATCTTTCCCGGAAAGTTGATTCAAAGATTGGTTATTACTTGGAACAGAACGAGACTCACTGTTGGTACCATTCAAAGCTGTACTGCAAGCTGCTAGACCGGAGGCCTGTAAGGATGCTGCACGGACTGAGGTAAATTGCATATGCACAGAACCTGAGCAAAATGGGTAGATTGACATAATAGTTCATATTAGGAGTGTATTATACTATTCGATTGAGCAATCATGAACTCTGACTTCCAGATGTAAGTAGCTGGAAAATAAATTCAGACGATGTTTCCTTCATATTTATTTTATTTTGTAGAAAATCATAATCGTAATACAAACTAGGCCCAGATAGATATTTGCGCTGTGAAATAAGAAAACAATTGTATGCTCAAACAAACTGGCAGCACCATTAACCAAAACCTGTTTAGCAAAATATATAATTGATATGGATTCCATGCAATTTGAAGGAGTTAATACACAAGATCCTAGCATCCATATTCCATACAATTTTACCAAATTTTTTATTAACAAAAATGCACTGTCTAACCATGAAGAAGCAGGATAGCTCATACCTGGTCCCAGTTCCGGGGAGCCGTCATCCACAGGTGTTGCAGCAGAAACATGGAGCCCTAAAAGATAAAACCCCAACTTACTTTTATGAATTAGCACATAAATTTACAAGCACAATTTGTTAAAAGAAACTTCATGTGAATTGAAGATTAAATAAAACATTCCAAAACCAAGGAATGATATTTCATTCAATAAGTAGGAAAATGTTCTAATTTGCAATCCATGAGCCCATTATGTAATTCAGACTCTCCCAGAAGCTCATCATTGAAATAGTAGATAAAGCAAAGAATTATGCAGTTATGCATAGTAAAGCTTTAGACCGCAAATGAAGCTAAAGATTACAGGCTTCGGTTTCTAATGAGTTCACTGGAATATCGCTTTCCTTTCTTTATTTAGATTGGAAATCAGCTATTTGTTAGTCTGGTTGTGTTTTTGTTTTAGGCTATTATTTGTTTTTGTTTGCTTGGTTTTGTGGTCCTTGTTGTGGTAGCGGTGTTTGGGCTGGTCTGCTAGACCACCCTCTCTGTTTACTTCTTTTTTCCTAACAAAATTGTCTCTTTACAAAAAATAAAATAAGGTAAGGACTAGCATTCTTGTTTAGATTAAAGAGGTCAAACCTGCATTATGTTGCTTGTCGACCAAATGATTGGCTTGCTCTGTTAACCCATTTTCACTATTTTCGCAAGGAGTGCGGCAAATATTCTCCCCATTCATTAATTGATCAGAACCTCTCCGTACCGATTCATTGTCAGTTAGATCCTTACTATCATCCAAAACTTCAGTGGCATCCGACTCTTCACTGTCACTGACAACTACATCATCAAACTCTAATAACTGAGTATCCTCCATGTTTGCAAAGCAGTTGATATCATCCAATACTTGTGTTTCACCACTGAAATCCACTGCTTGTGTCTCACCACCGAAATCCGTCGCTTGTGTTTCACCACCGAAATCCATCGCTTGTGTTTCACCACCCAAATCCAATACTTGGGTTTCGCCACCAAAATCCATTACTTGGGTTTCAGTTGCGAAATCCATTAATTGGGTTTCATCACTAAAATCTACCATTTGGGTTTCAAATGCATCTTCAACTGGAACAGTATCATCACATGGCACAATGTCTCGCACTAACTCATCCGCATCCTTCGATTGGCCCTTCTCATCTAATTTTCAATAAAACAAAATGAAGAAAAGAAATCTCAATAACAATTGTAATCCTAAACCAAAAGACAACATCATTCACATCCCAAAATGGGAGAAAATCATACTAAAACACAGCCAAATAAAAATTCTCACAGTGATATGCACAATTTCATGAGAACATATGCGCAAACATGTAAAAATCTTACTTTTCCACGAAAAAATTCAGAGAAAAACCGTAACAGAAATCGTTGAATCGAAAATTTTACCATGCGAACATGAATTTAACAAATTTGAACCCTTGTCTATATATTCACATTAAAATTACCATAAAGGACAAAACTTTAACTAAAAAATAGTTACCGGACAATGGAGGGCTTGAAATCTGAGTATCAATGGGCTCGGTATCGGCGCAGTCGACGAGTGAGTTTTTCTCCATCGGCTTGATTTCATCGTCGCCGTCCCAGAGGGAACCCATTTCAACTCTTATCGGAAACCAGATCAGAATCCACCAGAACCCTAGAAAAAAGCATCGAAATTTCAGAAGGAAAAAATACGAAAAATAAAATAAAATAAAATTGACGGTAACGATCGAAAGTGGGGTAGGAAGTATGCGGAAGTGAGAAGCGAAGGACGATCAATTGGGGAAAGAGAGGGAGCGAGAGAGTGAAAGATTAGGGTTTTTGGAGGTGGAGGGAAAATAGTGGGGGGGGGGGGGGGGGGCGTGGGAAATTTTGGAGGGAAAATGAAGGAGTGGAACACCGTGTGAGTGTCTGTTATAATCGGAACCGAAGTTGGTAACTTCTCCTTCTCCTTCACCTACGTTTCTCTCTTCTCTTTTACTTTTCCGACTGTAAATAAAAATACCACGGAAACTTTCACCACTTACCAGGAAACGATCAAATCAAAATCCAACGGCTGAAAATCATCAGCTTAAATTCCTAATGTAGAGTATGGTAAATGATGATGGAATACCATCACCGGCCGTTTGGTCTAGTGGTATGATTCTTGCTTTGGGTGCAAGAGGTCCCGAGTTCGATTCTCGGAACGGCCCCCTTTTTTATTTTTGTTTCTTTTTTTCTCTTTTCATTTAATTTTAATCTTTATATAAAGGGCAAGAAGATTGATCTGATGTGTGGGATTAATTGGAAGTTGTTGGTTCTAGAAATCAACCAAGAAATTGGTAACAATCACTTCTTTTCATCTTTACTTATCGTTCATATTCAAATCCTGAAGAAATAAAAGTCCAAGTTTTTGGAGTTCAAAACTTTAAGTCTAACACAAGTGTCAACGCCATAAGAGGATAGTAGAAAAATAAGTTAGAATTAAAATAGGTCGTCTAGAGCTTGATTCCTCCAACATAACAACAAATGAAGTCAAAAAAGTCTTGCATACTTTGACAAGTCTTAGTAAAAAGATAAACTTGCATGCAACCAAAAATCAATATGACGCCTAAACTTGCGTGCAGAACATTTTCTGATCAGAGCCAGTTTCGACCGTTTATCCAATGACTTGCAAAATTCTATGAAGCAATAAGGCTGTCCCAAACAAACTTGTCGGAAGAACGACTACAAAACATAGCCTGGAAGGGCAAAGGAAAAGCTAATACTTTGTTTAGCGCTTTTTTTTTTTTTTTTTTTTTGACAAACCATAGATTTGAAGATTAGACGATAGATTAGGAGTCGACAGGGTTTGAAGTCACGTCATGATGCAAGAACAACACTCCTTCCAACCACTGTGACAGAGAACCACTTCTGTGACAGAAAGCCACTTGTAGAAAAGCTAATACTTTAACACCAAAGTAAAAAACTAACAGAAGCATTTATATAGGAAGACGAGGTTGTTCTTGTTCATCAGAGAATTCAAATACGAGGTTCCAGTTGCAAGAAAAAAAAAATCAGTTTCTTTCACTGTCGGCCAACATTTCAGCATAGGTAGCCCAGGGTTCAGTGAAAATTCAAGGGTATATAAACAAGAAATTCAGAATATGCAACACAAAAACAGCAGAGCCACCTCCTTCACCAAAAGACCAAAAGCCGGCTGCAAAATGTGCCTGCCTCGTAATTCCAATCAATAGACGGCTTCATTTCCCACACCGGCATTCTGGGAAAAGGCCTATGAAGCAAAAGGCTAGTCTGATTACCAACTCAAGTCTGACTGAAGAAACGAAGCGGCAAAGCAGCAGGGTCAAGTTCCCAGCATCCTCTGAGGCTGCCGCCTTTTTCGTCTGTTAGCCGGAAAGAAGGAATCATGTGAGAAAACCTCAGTAGTTCAACCCCATGGACGGTCATGGTTTCAGCTGATCCTCCTTTCACCCGAGTCTTGAAAACCGAGTTGAAACCATCCACACGCTCTAAAATCAAGACCTCTCTCTGCAAATCATTTTCAGTCTGCACTACCACTATGTCATACTCGCAGGTATCCAAATCGGTACACGAGAGACCAGCTGTCCAGTTCTTATATAAAGCCCAAACCTCACCTCTGTGTGGATATATTTCAAAATCATTCTTACCAATAGAAACTGCATTTAACCGGTGTGAAAAGGAGAGAGTAGAATCATAGTCCTGGAGTGGACTCCTTCTAACCCTAAATCTCCCGCAGCTGACGGGCATCTCCGCATCATGCCATCGGATCACCCTGTCTGGTAGTAAGTTGGCAAGCCATGCAATATGCAATTTGGATCGGTGACTATCAAGGCTCGTTATCTGGCCATAGTATTTTGGCAAGCCATCCTCATCACTATACAATGCCCAGATCTGACCAATCTCAAACTTTTCCAAAGATTTATCAGCATCAAAGTTGTAGAACTCAGATTCCGGAATATCAATACCTTCTGGGGATGATCCTTTGGGAACATTACCATCTTCATTCCTTGTATCCGGAGATGCAGAAAAACCATTAGTACGAGTACTAGCCTCCGATTTCCGTTCTCTAGAAACAGGAACTTCTTCAATATTAAAAGGCAAAGCGGCAGGATCAAGCTCAACAGATCCTAATGGAACTCCTACTCCTTCGTCACCAGTCAATGTATAAGATGGAACTCTGTGGGAAAACCTCAATAATTCTCTGGGCGGAACTTGAAATGTGCCTTTCCCATCCTTAACCTTTCGAAAAACACTCACAAAGCTTTTCACCTTCTCCAAGAGTGCAACACATATTCCAACATCCTCAGAATAGTCTGACAAAATATCAACAAATTCATATTCAAAGTGCTTCTCATTGGAGTCCGGATCAGAGAACCACTTTATATCCCAGTTCTTGAAAATGGCCCAAGTCTCTCCCTTTCTTGGATATATCATGTAAGCACTTCTAATCTTCCCCCAAATCATCAAATGAGAGAACATGGGAAGATCTTTCGTGGTTTCAGAGTGACCTTGTCTGAATTTACCACAAGAAAATGGCAAGTCAGCTTTGGCCCATTTCATTTCATTATCATCATCGGGGTCCGGCTCTAGCCAGGTTATCTGCAACTTGAACTCAGGTGAGTGAACTTTCTTGATTCTAGCATAGAATCTTGGCATCCCATTTCGAGTATCATAAATAGCCCACACCTGCCCAGCTTCAAAGAGTTCTTCTTTCCGGTACCTCTCAAAGTCGTTGAAATCACTATCAGGGAAAGAATACAAGGGCTCTGGTTTTTGTTTCTCATTGGAGTTTTTATCTAATGGAGAATTCTCAAGACTTCTTTTCTTCGAGTCGAAAACTTTCACCCTTTCTTTAGCCCCAAACTTCTTTTCACCAACTCCCTTTGGCAAACACTCTTCAAAATAAGCACTTTCTTTCTGTTTCACCTTTTCCTCATCTCCTGTAGCGTCAGCAGCACGATCATATTTATTATTCATGTTAGATTCCCCCTCTTTTAATGTGTCTTCATCTTCCTCTTCAGTGGCACAGGATGAACCACTCCTCTTCTCCCTTTTTGATAAAGGAGTGTCTTCACCATCGCTTAGATGTTCCTTATAAGAAACGTTCTGCTTATGCCGTGAAGACCTTCGTGGTTGCTGCTCTCCATAAATTCCGGATTTCAAACCAGCCTGAAGAACAGCATCATTGATGACCATATCTTCTTCAGAATCACTGCTGCTTTCAGAGACACTGCTTTCGCTGGATTCTACTACATGTTTCCTTTCTCTCTTACGCTTTACCTTTTCGGAGCGAACACCTGAAGAGCTACTTGCCTTTTTCTGTGTCTTTTGGAAAGGTTTAGCTTTGGAGTTTTCAGCTCCAACATTCCTCTGAAATCTCACTTCAGACATGTTAACATTCACTTTTTTGGGGGGGAATGCCTGCTGACTTAAGTTAGTTGGTGGTGGTGCTGGTGGTGCTCCACCTGGCACATTTGTGTCATAGGCAATGAAGGGCTTACTGCAGCCTTGACAACGAAGAGATCTAAGAAGAACTTCTCTATAATACTGGTACTTGACTGAACAAAATGGGCAGGCAGTCCAAAAAGTGGATCGGGCATCTGAATACCCTGGTGGAAAAGGTTGCTGTTGCTGTTGGCTCTGGAGATTAACGCCTGAAAAGTTGCCTCTGGAGTTGTTTTGAACTCCAGGATTTGAGTTCCAACTTGCCCTCTGCGGGGGCCAATGTGGTACACCTGTTTTACTCACAGAAGTCTTGCGTTTCAGGTCATGCATGCTCCGTTTGTCACGGTCCAAAAGTACTCTTTGAGCTTCACCTATCAGCTTAAAAGCAGCTTCTGCACCGGAAAACTTATTTTTATCTGGATGAAGTTGGAGAGCAAACTTCCTGTACTGCTTCTTAATTGTTATCTCATCCGCTGTTTGATCAATCTGAAGGATGCCATACCAGTCCATCTCAGTCCCAAATGATTTCTCAGCAGAGCAATGCACATCACAAACCATAAGCATCTGAGATATATTCTCCAGATCAGAATAGAGTTGTTGCGCCTTTATAGCAATCTTACGAGCCCCCACGAAATCCTTGCTCTGCATCTTCTTCTCAGCAATCGACTTGGCCCTAATGGCCTCCTCCTTATTGCAATCCATCACTAATCTGGAGAACCTGAGTTCACTTAAGCTGATTTAATAGTGCATAAAGCAACAGGAAACACTATAACCCCAAAAGCATGCTTCTTTATTGAAAAAAAGCCAAGTTTGATTTCCGTTCAATATCACAAGTCACATCCAGTTGAACCCTGCCAATTCTGCATCAACTTAAGAGTTAGGACCAATTAAAAGCCTTTAATCAACATAAAGAAAAATAAACAAGGTGTAAGCGATTACATGTGTGCAACGTTTCACCCCCAGTATTACTTATTAAGTTGATATTCAAATTAAAGAAACGCAATGTAAAATGCATTTTTTGCAGTTTAATAGTAAATCACTAAGCACCTACTTATGAAGTGAAACTTGAAAAAGGTGGGAGATGAAAAACAAAACAAAATCCTGAGTAATAACCAAATAAACCACGCAAATATTTTCATCACATATTAGAAAGCAACTCAACGAACTCCGTAAGCCACCCAGAACAACATTCAAAATAATTAATGAAAAACAGGAAACCATAGCTAAAACTGAAAAATAAATATAGAAAACCCACAATACAATGAATTGCTTTCTCAGGAAAACCATAGAATAATAAAACATTACGAATTAAAACAAAGGAAGATATAAGAACGCAAAATACACAACAAAATATATCCCATTTCCCGGAGCTAGACATAACCGCTTATCTCACAGTCCCCTACTCAACAGTCTCTTTGGAACCCAAATGAAATCCTAGAATTTATAGAATTTCAATTCCAAATATTTATCCTCATACTTCAAAAGCTAAATCTGTGTAGAGTTCATTCTCAAATTCTTGAATAGTGTGAATTTTCAAAGACCATCTCAAACTGAGACAATTGTAAATTACCTCAACCCGAACAATACAGAAAATTTGTTCCAACTACAAGGGTTGGTCCTATGCTAAACTACCAAACTAACCTGCAGCAATTACGACTTGTAAGTTTAATTTTGACAATAATAAACATTGAACTCTGTCCTAAACATTTAAATTTCATTCACAAATGAATTCTTTTGCAAATAATCCAAACTTTTTTTTTTTTTTTTTTTTTTTTGCCATTTAATCCCGGAAAGTATGACAGTTCACTTTATAAACCAAAAACATTATACCAATTGCTCCCACAACGAAGCCTTTACCCACATGCAATCCAAACCCAAAAGAACCCATCACATCACAGTCCACAACGGGAAGCAAAACCCTTTTAAAAATTAGTAATATTGGGGATGCAGAACCCTAATTTTACCCAAAACTCAATAAATAATTTTGAAAAACTACTGTAATTTGTTGACATATTTGAATCCTAAAAACAGACCCCCAAAAGCATGCGTAATTTAATACATCGAACAACCAGAGTCAAACATCGTTCTTCAAGCTAAGGGTGGAAGCTTGAACAACCTTGGGAAAACGCCAAAAAGTGATAAAAATGTCGCAACGAATTCAGAAACAAAAAAAAGAAAGAAAAAGCGGTTTTGGAAAAGAAGCGCTTACTCGTTTGTTTTGGCTGAGAAATCACAGAGCCCGATTTGGGAGACACAGGATTCTGGAGGGACCTGGGGTTTTCAGAAGTGGGAAAGAAGAAGACCTATGATACTTCGGCTTATTTCTCTAATGCCACTCATTCAGTCATTTGGGTTTATTGGTAATTAGAGTTGTAATTTACTTCAAATTCAGGGGCATTTTTGTTTTGTGAATTTTCGAGTCCCTTGTTCTGCCCCAATGTTTTTTAGTAAAGAACTGTACTTCGTTCTGAGAAAGAGCAACGTTGTGATTAAACTTCGTTGACAATGAACTGAAATTACAATTCTACCCTCACTGAAATTACCAAAAAGGACATTCATCAATTAGGGCATAGGAATTATCAATGGCGCGGGCCGGGCCCAACTCTTAAAGTTGGGCTCGAGCCCGACTTGGGTTGGACCGTTTTGGAAATAGAGATATTTCGGGTCTTACCTGAAACTCGTTGACATGAATCAAAGTGAGCCCGTATACTGAAAATATGCTTATATGGAGAGACGGAAATTGAATTCATTACTTTGCGTGTAATGGTGAATGCTCTTAACCTTATAAGCTACAACTCTCTTGCAAATTACAAAGGGCTAGTTTGGGATTGCGGTGTTTTTTTTTTTAAACTACTTTTGTTGTGCATTAAATATAATCAGCTGCAAAATAAAGCGGTTTAGCGTTTGTTAAAATGTATTTTTAAGTGCTCTGAGTATAAAAAGCAATATAAAAGCGTTGGTAAATTTTAATGTAAAGCAGTGACAAAAATAGACATGATAGTGTGGACAATGATGATGACAACGGTGGCGAGGGCAATGGTTGTGATGGTGATGGTGGTGGTGATTCCAATAAAGGGGTGTGGTGGTTGGGCTACAGAGGTAACAATGATGGTAAGGGCGGCAACAACGGTGATGGTGACAGTTGTGGTTATGGTGGCAGTGATGGCGGTGGCGGCAACGATGATAGTAGCAATTATGGTGGTAGTGGCGGCGGGTATGGTTGTGGTGGTGGTTGTGGTGCGATTGCGGTGTGGTGGTGGTGGCAACAATGGTGGTAGTAATGGAAATGGTGGTATAAGAGGATTGGGCTTGTAGTGATAGATGGTGGTCGTCACTTTGTTCTCTAAGGATAACATGTGTATAGAAGAATAAATAATGTCGTCTTTAAAAATAATGAGCATATAACATGAATTAAAAATGTTCATTAAAGGTTCAACTCCACTTTTTATTAAAGCAATTTTTGAAAGCAATTTACAAGCTGCTTTTAAAAGTTATTGTCTAGAGGCCATTTCTTTTGAAATAATTAGAATATTTTATTTTTATCAAATATTTTTTTACTGCTTTACTTTAAAATAAAACAAATTTTAATAAAAATAGCTTAAATAAGATACATAATAATATAACTGAGTTTGGTACGATTACGAACCAATAATAGGATATTGATTACCGTACCAAACCTTCCATATGCTAATATTACCGTTGTCGTGCGGCAAAGTTGGTATGTCGAATGAGTTGGTTGGTAAGGTTTGATATTGGTCCTGTCAATTAATTTAGTATTTGATTGTTTCATTTGGACCCAAAATTTATTTTTTGTTTTAAGATTCATAACTATTTTCTTCTAGCCGAAAACACTTTTTTTATATTTTGGTGAAGGCCTTAAAAAGTGTAATAAAACATGATATAATGTACATATTAAGATGTTAACGCCATCTTTAAACTTTGATGTAGTAGTACAAGACACCAAAAAGGAACCCAACTTTTTGACCAAACCAAAAAGGCATCAAGTTTTTTTTTTTTATGTTTTTTTGTTTTTTTTTTTTTTTAACGAAGGGTAGATTCATTACCATCAAGAAAAAATACAACAGCAGCCCAAAAACAAGTTAAGCATAAATAAAGAAGATGGACCACAAACACACAGATGACAAAGCTCCAAAGCCAACCTTGAAACCCAGCACACACAAACAAACCACATGAAAAAATCTAGAAAGCTAAGGGCCTGTTTGGTATCCTATTTGAACATTTTAATCATTTCTTAAAACATTTCTTGAAAACTATTTCTTTAAGACTCAAAAACTTGATTGGTTTGTGATTTAAAAATTTTAAATCTTACAACTTAAACTAAACGAAGAGATCTAAAAAGATGAGGTCGTAAGAGAGGGAGAAAGAGGAGAGAGGAGGAAATAAACTAAGAAATGATTGAAGGAAAGAGAAAGAAGAGAGGATTAGACGAGATAGAGAGGAAGAAGAGTGAGAGAATGAACCGAGAGAATGAAGATAGCGGATTGGAGGAAAGATGAAAAATGCATAAAAAAATTAAAAAACAAAAAGAGGAGAGAGAAAGAAGAAAAGAGGGAGAGATAGATTTGGAGTGAGAGGGGAAGAGTGAGAGCAAAGAAATGAGTAAGTTTAAGTTTAAAAACTCTAAAAACTCACTTCTTATATTTTTAGAGAATAGACTATATTTTTTTAGTTAATCTTGAGTTCAGTTTTTTAAAATAGTCCTACCAAATAAGTTTTTAAGGCCTAAAACTTGAAAATTGCTTCTTGAAGTTGCAAACGATGTCGCCTGCACCAGAAAACCACATGACAATCATCTTGATCTGGCTCCCTCCACAAGCATCTGGAATCACGCAAGCAAGAACCCAATAGTTGGGTGAAGAAAGAGGCCGCATCATCCTCCAAAGACCAGCACAAGGATCGTCGCCACGAGACCAAGGAAGCACGCTGGTAGAAAGAACTCACGAGCAACATCGCCAACAAGGGCAAACAATGGGGAGGACTAACAAGGGCCAAAAAGGGCGGTGATGCAAACACCCGATCTTTAGCCAAAGCTAGGACCGACGTCGACGCAAATCGATGAAAATGAAAACCACTCACACGTCGGTGAGAAAGACTCATTGGGGGAGAGAAAGCTTTCACAAAGGGAGAGAAAGACCACTCCAAAGGCATCATTCACACACATTTTGCAAAACTAAACTTCTTCTAGTAGTCTACCATACCTATTACCTACCATCAACATTTATTATTCGCACATTTGGTATACCAAGCAGCAATTCGTCAAAATTCATGATACAAGTTAAAAGTTACAAACTAAGAGCATTTTCAATCAAGCTCTCTATTTTTAAGTCAAAATTTAACTAAAATTATTCTAAAATTATTTTAAGAGCTCCCTAAATTTCAACCATTCTCGCAAATTTAGGAAATCATAAGAAATTAAGAATTGTGGACCAATAGGAATTCATATTTTATTTAAGATATTATTAAAACAATGATAATTAATGCTATGAGCTCATTTCTCACTCCCTAGATTTAGGAGCTGCTAGAGATTTTGTTATATATCCTAAGAGCATGATAGGGAGTGTGATTGGGGAAGAAATCTTCCAACTTCTCCACATATTTTGGTCAGGAGTTCATTTAAGAAACCCAATAGAAATGTTCTAAATCAAAGAGTCAACATTACAAACCAAATGAGATGTGATTCCGAAATGTCGGGGAAAAGAGATTTTTCAATATTGCCGAGAACACTGTCCGGTACACTAACTATCATAATACAATTGTTTGGAAACTAAAAAAAGGAAAAAAAAATATACCAAATTGTATTATGACATGTGTACCGGGCTATGTTTCTGCTACACTACAAATTTTCTCATCAAGAAAAGCGGGTAGTGAAAAAGGGGGTGGGGATGAGGTTGTATGAGGTGGTGGATGCACTTATTCGTAGCGGAGCGATAGGATTAAGATGACTCACCCTTGGCATGGTAAGGGCGACGGAGGAAATACGGAAGGCGATGAACCACGGCGGCTATAGGTGGAGCCGCCAGGGTGGTTGGAGTGAAAACCAGAAACCCACACTTGCTGCCTTGCAATTTCTACACAAGCACATGTGATGCTGGAAGTCGGTTATTTAAACCCTATATTTTTTTTCTTAAACAAACGATATTATCTATACTAGGAGTTGGCTACTTAGCTAGTAAAACCGTAATGCTAAGTGACCTCAACATTTCTATTAAAGCTCTAAATTTATTGAAGTCTAGTCCAGTCCAGTCCAGCCTAACCGAGTCCATCTCACTTTTGTAATAAAATCGTTTTGTAAAACGTTGCCAAACAGACTCTCAACGAGCAACAAGAGCGCGTACGAAACCCAACTAAAAGGCAGCAAACCCAGAAGGAGGGCATGACAGATTAAATTAATGGAAGACACTTCCAAAAAGTACTTTATCTACATACAAATTAGGAACCTGATTCCCTTTTGAAGGGACAAACTATAATTTGCTGAATAGTTGGTTTAGGTGTTTTTATGCTCTAAGAAGCTGTACAAAAACTCTCTTGTCAGGCACTTAATTAACTTCAAGGCTGTTCCCTTGGGCTACCACCAACAGATCCCTCAGCTGGTAACCCCACCTTTTCACCCTCCTCCGCCATTAATGATGGCTGAATATCCATGTCTTCGGACGCATTTTCTGGCATTGTCCCAGAAACCTGACAAGTATCGCACACTTTAGCTTCAGATTTGGACTCCTCTAGTGTTTCCAAGCTGCCCATAGGCCCTGCCTCGGACAAGCCTTCTATGTTGTCACCCTCCACAGCCATGTTAACTGGAGGCTGATCCACATTTTCAGATGCAACTTCTGGGATTGTCCCGGAAGACTGAGAAGCATCAGCAACTTTAGCTTCGGATCTTGATGACTCTGGTGATTCGGTGCTGCCTACAGGCCTTGCCTCAGATAAGCCTTCAACACCATCACCCTGATTGATCAAGATAACCGGAGTTTGATCCATGCTTTCAGACACATTCTCTGGCAATTCCACACAAACGTGAGACGCATCAAATGTTTTAGCTTCAGATTCCAACTCTGCTTCAGACGAGCCTTTGACACCATCATCCACCATGGTCGAGGTAACCAGAGGCATATCCACAGATTCACACACAACTTCTGGCTCCCTCTCACAAGCATCAGGGGCATTCATCTGAGTATCCTTGTCAGCTACAGTTGTTTTTGGACCCTCCGTCACTGAGCTGCCATCTAGAACCTCAGATGGATGATCCATACCTCTTCCTTCTGTCTCTAAGGAGGATGCAGGCAGGTCAACGTCCTCCGCCATTCTATCTTCTAGCAGCACCATGCCAACCTGAGTCGTACATATGATATATACATTACTAATGAAATTGAGAGCAATAAACCAACTTTTTGATTGTCTGTGGACATTTGTATGCATTTGAATTTCACAAGTTATTGTTATATGCTTTGAGATATTACAGTTTATAATTCTGTTTAGTAGGAAGCTCTGAGATAAGACAGGTTTTGTTTTGCTGGGTGAAAAGAGGAGCGGGTGTGGTGGTGGTGAGGTTTGCTCTTGTAATTTTGAAACACAAGCCTAGCTTCCAGCATTAAGGTACACACCTATTTATTTGAAAAAAATACAATTGACAAAAAAGTGTTTATCTTAGTTCCTAATGAGTGCAACGAACCTTGGATGCATCAGAATGATCACTTGTCTCAGGTTCAGAAATCAATGATTCCAACAGCGGCGCTGAACTGCTTATAGGATGCTTCTTGGATAACTGCTGAACCTCCTCTTCGGAATCAACACTTTCTTTTACAAGCAAATCCCCAGAAGATCTGGGTGTTTCCATTAGATGACCCATCTCATCTTCCTTCCCAGTTGATTCCTCAAGTTGTACTGAGCTGCCATCTTGACCTTTCTCAGAAGAGCCCTCAGCATTTTCCTGCTCTTTTGTCAAGGAAGATAAAGGCAGATTTTCTAACATCCTTTCAGGCACAAACGTGTCAACCTCAGAGACAACAATTTTATCAGAAACTAAAGCTTCAGATGCGTCCCCCAACATTATTGATCTGGCTGGACTGCTTCCTTCCTTAACTGCAACAGTAGATGATGGCACAATAACATTTTCTGATATATTTTCGGGTCGGAGCTCACTAACCAGAGAAACATCCATTTCAGTATCAGATCCTTTCGATTCTCCCAGTAAGTCTGATCTCCCACCTAAATGTTCCATAGATGTTCCATCAATCTTGTCTTCTTCCACTGGTACTGGACTGCCGAGTAGACACTTTCCAGATATGTCACTATCTCCTTCTGGTAGATTCTCATCAATCTGAGATGAATTAATTAGAGCATCTCTTTCAGCTCTAGAAATTTCTGGTTCATCCACAGGTAATGAGCTGCAAACTTGAAAAGTCTTAGATAAATCCTTAGTCATCCCCTCCTCAGTCATACCTTCTGATAAAATATTTTCTTGCACAGGTCCATGAACCTGAGATAAATCCATTTGAACTGTTAAAGCTCCAGAACCCTTGACGTCTTCCAGTAGTACTGAGCTGCAACTTGGCCTCTTCTCAGATGAACCCTCAATCTTTTCTTCCTGCATATTTAAAGATGAAGGAAGATCAATTTTTTCAGAGATATGTTGTGGCGATTTAACATCCATTTCAGTGACACAGTGATGCCGATCAACTGGAGATTGTGAGCTGCTACTCTGGCATTTCATGGATGAGCCTTCCACTGTTTCCTCTTCCCCTACAGAAGATGACAACAAGACTTCTGATTTATCTTCTGATACGAATTTACCATCCTGAGAAACTTGAGCTCTGTCAGATGATTCATGAATTTTTCCCGCCACTATCAAAGAAGATGAGGGTAAAACCATTTCCAATACTTCTTCATGTGGACAACTAACAGCATGAGAAATATCCATTTGATCACCCTCAGCAGGGACCACTTCCTTATTGCAAGCATCAATACTACCATCCCCAATCATTTCAGTTCCAAGTTCCAAGATGCCCTTTTCAGAAGGAATAACATGAACAGTGGTATTACTTCCTGAAGCACCACCAACTGATTCATGAGAAGCTTCAGAATCAACAATCTTGGATGAAATTTCTGAATTTAAACAAATATCATTAACAACTCCAGATTCTGTAAAGGGCATGTCAACTTTGTCAAGAGAACCCCGTCCAGAATCAATATTTAGCATTGAGGGAATAATTGTGGAATTCTCATGGCTCAGAGGAGAATATTGTGTACAACCTTCTGAAGCAGGTTCATTCTTTCTTCCAGGGTTATTCTCAGCCATAACAGGAGGCACTACATCCCCTAAACCCACAGAAGAGGGTGCACTTTCTCCAGGACAAACATTTTCAGATGACGTGAGCACAATGGTTTTTCTATCATGAGGGGAAGATTCTCGGGACTCTTTTGAAGAATGCTCTGATTTGTCTGCTGAATTTATTTTGGTCATTTCAGTAACACCAGGAGCAGCAACTGAATGATCTGGACTTGAAGTAATAGGTGAAGGGTCTTCAGAATGACAGCCGGCATCCTCAGTAATACAAGGGGATATTGGATTCTCTTTAGCAAAACTCCCCTTTTTGTTTTCAGAATCAACCATGGCAGGAAGGCCCACCTCGCTTGACTCGAATGGGACCCTAGGAACAGGAGGCGTAACACCAAGATGAAGACTGGCATTATCAGTATCCTTGGAAATTAAAGGTTGCTCAACAGAAGAGGATTTATTAGACTCTGCTGAAAAAGATTCAATTTTCTGTCCAGAATCTCTCCCAATCACCTCAGGATGCTCAATGTTACTTTCCAATACTAACGATGAATTCATCTCCCCACCAGAGGAGCCTATACTAGAAGCAGGCACATCAACATCTCGAGCCAATGTCTGAACAACAGTATCTGTTTTACTCATCATAGTCGAACCATCAACACAGAGTTGTTTTGAGTCTTCCAATTCTTTAGTGGAGCCTACAGCTGCCTTGCCCTCGTGTTGGTCCATATTTGTGATGGGAACATGGGTTTCATTCAAAGCAGGTGGCTTGTCCCTCTCCCGTTCTGCACTAACACCAGTCCCGGATTGCTTCTCGTAATTCGCTGGAAGGTCAAGTACATGGGCTGCTGTTTCCAAAGTTGACACAATTGGAGATGCTTTATCCTCCAAACTTTGGTTTTTGGCTAATTCCACAGGAGCCTTGCTTGATACAGGTACACAAGGGACAACCCTACCTTCTCTCCCAGATGACTCAGGAATTTTAGCTTTTGACAAACGTGTTCCAGAAAAGACCTCCTTCATCACACGAGCAACATCACTTACATCAGCAGTCTGGATACGGCCCAAAGCAGAACTCTTATCAGAGAATCCTGGAGGAATGTCAAGTGTTGACGAAGAATTTGAAGGCTGCTTACTGTGGGTTGAAAAGACTGGCTCCTCTTTCCTCTTTGAATCATGACTCACTAAACTGCTAGCTAAATGGGCTTGACTTGCTTGGGCCTGAGAACCATTTGTCAACTCCTGTCCATCAGTACCCTGCTTACTTCTCAGTGCAGCAGACTTACTCCCGAATGAATCAACAGATGCATTCTGTGATTCAAACCTTAAGTTTGGATCCTGACCTGCTGGACCATCAGAAACAGAAGGTAACACCGGAGCCTGCTTCCTTCCCCTACGACGGGGTGCTTCGGCTCTGTTTGAAGTCTTTCGACCTTGTCTTTTGACTTGTACTGTTTCAGAAGGGCAAGGAGTGAGAGATTGAGAAGCTAGAGGAGCAGAAGGGTTGGTAGGCATTGACTGAGAGCTAGGAGCAGTCTTAGCAACATCATAGTTTGCCTCACTGGTGTTTTCCACTGCTGGAGGTGCATTTACGGGAATTGGAATAGCAGGTGCTGCAGCACCTTTAGTCACTGTAACAGTAGAATTGCATGTGACAACCTTTTGACTTTCTCCCAATGCAGGACCTGTCAAATGTTAAATTAATTCATGTGAGGAAAATATAATGATGAATTCAGTTGTAAACAAATAAAAATTCAGTCGTGCATATATGCACAGTATTTACCAAGGGATCTGACGGATGTATCATGCATCATTGTTGAGCTTGTTATTTGCTTGGCTCGGGCAAAATTTACTGACTCTTCGGTTAAGTTCAGATCCTGACCAGCTAAATCATCAGCCTCTTGCTTACTTTGCATGGCAATGTCTTTCCTTCCAGATGAATCCCCAGGTTTATCCTGTGGTTGCAGATTGGGTTTCAAATCTTGACCAACTAACACATCACTAACAGCAGGTGATATTGGCGCCTGTTTCCTCCCCCTACGCCGCGGTACTCCTACGTCACCTTGCGCCTTCCGGTTTTGCCCTTTTGTTTGCACGGGTACAGAAGGGGAAGGAGAAGATTGAGACAAAGGAGCAACAGATGGAGAAGAAAGGGCTGGCTGCGAACTCAAAGCTACAGCATCACCAACTTGGTGATCAGCCCCACTCACAACTTGTAAAGGAGCAGAACCAGAAAAAGAATCAGGGTGTTGGACTGCGGAAGTACTAGAAACAGTTCCACTCATGCCAATGGCTTGATTTTCTAGTGGATTCACAGATGTGTTCTGTGATGCTTCATTTTGTTTTGGATCAGGACCAGATACTCCAACACCAGGTGAAATTGGAGCCTGTTTCCTTCCCCTACGCCTGGGTGCTTCTGGTCCACTTTGAGTCTTCCGACCTCTTCCTCTTGATTGTGCTGATGGAAAAGGGCCAACAGTGGTCGTCTGAGAATCAGGAGTAACAGAAGGTTTAGGAGAAATTGGCTGAGAACTAGGTGAGGCCACAATACTAGTATGTTGTACAATTCCTCCAATACTCTGTGCGTTAGCAGAACTAGTTGATGAACCAGGGACCAAGTTTGTGGCAGGGCTAGATACCATCCCTCTTTGCAACCCAGTATCCACTTTAATAGTTCCAGAAGGTGCTGTAAGAGCCATCGCAGTTGGTGATTGAACTAATGTTGCTCTTTTTGGCCTTCCACGGCCTCGCTTAGCTGGTGGGGTAACCTCTTTACTTTGTTGCATCTGGGAAAGGTCCACAGAGGGTGACGATATGTGTTGTGGGAGTGGAGCAGGAAGTTCTGTTTCACAAACAGCCACCACAGACCCATTGTCAACTTTTGGCATGTTTGACTCTCTAACTTCTTCTTTTGTTTTTGTGGGGGAATCCGGAGATTCAGCCTGACATAACTTTTCAAATTCCTCTTCTGTCCATTGCTCTTCATATGAACGCACCTAAAAAGCATTCAAAGAAAAGGGTTCATAATCAATTAGCAGGTTTGTGGTATAAGAAACACAAGGATAGAGAGGAAACATTTATGCTACTAGAATCCAATATGACAAACAAACCTCTCTTGCCCGTTTTCCCCGGCCATAACGTTGAGTATCAAGGCCCCCGATAGACCCACCCTTCCGCTTCACCCCATCATTAGACTTTTCACCGGTTTTTGGAACCTCATATATCTTCATTGCTTCACAGAACTCCTTCAAGTCATCATCTGTAACAAGGCGAGAAGGCAAGGGAGGCAGAGTCTCAGAACTATCCATGCCTTGTACACATACAAACTTTCTCCATGTTTCCTGCAAAATTAAATTTTTTAAAAAGCTGCCACTTAAGAGAAGTAAATAGCTTTCGATAATATACAAGGATACTTGTACAATGTAAAACCAAAGATACAGACAGCATTGACTGCAAATGATTAAGTAGATACCATCTCTTGTTCTCGCCTTCTTCTGTCAACTGATTCAAAGACATCAATTTCTGGCTCACTGCAAGAAAAGAGGCAACCATTGATATTCTACTCCAAATAAAAAATCAAGCGGAAAAAAAAAAAAAAAAAAAAAAAAAAAAAAAAAAACCAAACAAACAAACAAACAAACAGATAAATAAGTAAATAAATTTTGCTTCATTTGAAAGGGGGTAGCTTTTCAAACAAGTGGAAGTAATAATGACATTTAAACCGGTGACAAACAAAATCAGGCAGGAGACCAATGGTTTTGCAATTTAATCAGCAACAAATTCCAACACGCTAATGACTTTTGATTGTGAAATTTCCAGACCTTCTCATTTTGTAGATAATTCTACCCGGAGGATAAATATATAAAAAATAGGGCAGTAAACTCATCATTGCTTATGACAAACATTAAATATCAACAAAATCAAAGAAAACAATTAGGTACCATAGTCTACAGTGGCTCCATCTTTTCAAGAAACCCATGCATGGATTTTTTTTTTCTTTATTATGATGGACATGCTTAAGCTGGAACAGGAACGATGCATCTAACTAGTCCACCTTATTTAGATGAACAGTCGCATAAAACTATCTACCTGCGAGCTAAAAGATCATTTAAGGCATCATCATCTAATACAGGTGCAGCTTCCTCTTTCTTACACTCACGCAAAAGGGTCTCCAAATATTCTCTTCGATCTTCAGCACTGTGGTAAAAAGAATTTCAAGAAAACTTAGAAACAGCTTTAGAAGTATGCAAGAGAGCAAGTACATAGGCAACTAACCTTGTATTGTTGTCAAAGAAACCAGCAGTAATGCTCTGATTCGCAACTCCCAGCTTGTGCTCAGCTGCAGCTCTTACTTGTTCCTCAACAGTTTGAACCTTGTGCAAAAGAAAAAAAAACTCAAGCAGTTAGATATAAGACTCCAAATTAGGGACAATTTAATTTCAAGACGTAAATAGAAGAGAAAGAGTGGTTATAGCTTATAGATGTACTTTTGTCTTGTAAACAAAGGGGAAGTAATAATGGGGAAGTGCCTACCGTTTCAAATCGAAGCACAAGTACATCCTTCTTCTGGCCAATTCTGTGAGCCCTTGCCTGTGCTTGCAAATCAACCTGAAGATTTACCAACCAAAAAACTAAAAACTTTAGACTTGGAATTGTATGTTATAAACTCAAAATTTAAGTTAATGAACAGTAATTTTGTAAATTGCCTGTGGATTCCAATCAGTGTCGAATATTATTACTGTATCTGCAGCTTGAAGATTTACTCCTACACCACCAGCCCGAATGCTATCAAAATCATACGAATGTCAGTAACATTAACAGGCAAGAGCAAATGCAGACACACATCAAGATATATGAACAGCACATCAAAGCTTTTATAGTTTCCATTTTCTACTTTCTAGCAAACCCCTAAAAATGGAATCAAGCACAAAGCAGCCTAGCTTTAAGGCCAAGAACATGACAGTAGCACAACTCAGTGACATTAAAAAATTAATGCTGGATTTTTAGACCCTATATGGGAGTGTTTCTGTATAAGGTGCATCTGTTAGAGGCACATAAGAACTTTCATAAAAAATGAAATGCATCCTCCATCTGCACCTAGCGGTGCTTCCTAAGAAAGTAATAAAGTGCTCCTCTCAACCCCAAAAACCTATGTCTATTTCAGACAAACGAAATAAAAGGCACCCTTATCTGAAAGTCGTTTTGACACCACCAAACACGCCCTTTTTTGCTTCCACTTCATATGTAAATCTAAATCTCACCCCTTATTGACTTCTCAGGTAAAAATATAAAAGTGGAAAAAAAGGGGGAGGGGGGATGGTTATCTTATAACCTCCAAGAACCCGAGGTTCCAGTAACTATTGAACCACCTAGTCAAAGCATACAAAAATATTTACACAAAACATGAAGAATCACCTGAGAAGAAATATAAAAAAGGGAGAATCCGGGTTGTTGAACATATCAATGAGGGCACCGCGATCACCCCCAGATGTATGTCCATCCAGCCTAAGGTACCGATATTGTTTATAGTTAAGATAATCCTCCATAACATCAAGTAGCCTAGTCATTGTGGAAAAGAAAAGAACCTACACAGTGACAAGTTTCATTAAGTTGTAGTCCAATGTCAAACCAAAAAACTCGAATATTTGAAAGAGACATGAATACATATTAAAGAATGAGAGGATAGTTAAACAAAATATTCATGTGGCTAGAGACAGGAAAAAAAGTCTTCCATACCCTATGATCTGTCTCTTTTAGCTTGGGAAGCAATCGATCTAGCATCTCAAGCTTCCCACAAAGCCTTATAACTGGGGGTAGATAATGCTTTGGTATTAAGTTATCAACCTACAAGAAGCAATAAGATAAAGAAGTTTATATTAATTGGGAACTCAGGAAAAACAACGGAAAGCCTTGGGAGCACAAGATAACAATGCTTCTCCTCCCTTTCAGTATCTTTAGGAGAGCAAATAAGAACTTAAAATGAACAGGTAAAGAACATACCTCCTCTGCATGAAGCTGGCTGAGATATGGATGATTACATATATTTCGAAGCTCCATAACAGAGTTGTGCACTGACCGCGCCTGCAACCAATATGCAGATATTATAATAACAGATGCATTGTAATTCACCTGTCTTAATGAAAGTGGAATTAAAATACCTTGGAATTTCCAATTGTACCCAAATTGTCTTCTACCCTCTTCATTAGAAGCTTCTGATAAGCAGAAGCCTCACATCTTACAAGTCTCTCAATCTTTTCAGGTAGTTGATTCTCAACCTGCCAAAAAGAATATAAAATTCCACAACATTAAACATAGTGACTTGCCATACTCAAGTTTAAGAAAATAAATGGTTTGTTAATGATAAAACAGAAACTTCGATAAAACGTCAGCAAGGCCCCAGAAGCAATATATTTTATACCAAAATTTCTCGATGTAACAAACACCATAACAAATCAAATACAACCAGTAAAGGCACTAAGAACCCAAATAAAATATTCAGGAGTCCAGTCATATTGGGCCTCATGATGAGGCCCTCATCAATCATATGATCAACTTACATTTGCATATCCTACTTAAGCAGCCAAGTCTAGACGTGCCTTCTACACAAAAGTAATGAAATTAACAAGGATTTTGTTGTTCAGCAGCCATCTCGGCATTCCTAGTATAGAACTAGCTAAATCCTTTACGAGCACACGTAGCCCGGATAAGAGGCTGGACTGGCTTATTTAAGAATTAGTCACATGTTTGGTAGTTACATAGACTACAATGGGCAGGTCCACTTAAGAGAAGACGCGGGGGTTCCACCCGCTTATTCTGTCTGCTTATTTTGGTAGGGTTAAGCCGGGATACATTTTATCAGCTTTTATCAAACTCAGACTACGTTATCTAAGTTTTATCATCAAATGAAGGAAGCCAAAGAACAAAGCTGGCTGCAGTTGAAATGTATGGCTTGGGGCTATGAATTATTAATTTCTGGATAAAAGCTGGATGCAGGTGATAAAAGTTGGCTTGGAATAAAATAAATGAACTTATTTAACTGAGTTCATTGTTCCCTCAAAAAAATAAAAATAAAAAATAAAAATAAAAACTGAGTTCATTGAAGAAACAAAATCTATACTATTTATCGATGTTCAGTTTACTTGAGACATTTCATTCATATTAATTAATTTTTGTTACCTCAGATGTTTCAATATATTTGGAAAATTATCGTAGTTGATATATATATATATATGGTCATTTAAGTCTTAAGAACTACAGCAGTACAGTTCACATGCTAAATACAAGATAACAATATATAGAAATTTATCTAATTTCTTAGTTCAACACTGAACAAACATAAGAAAATACTAGATTGGGTCCAATTAAGGTCAGACCAGCCCAAAATAATAGTTCACTCCAGTCTAGTCCTGCCCACTAAGGAGCCCCTTAGTTTCTAAAATGACTGGGATGTATGACATTCTCATTGAAAAGGCACAATGTTAGCATTCCAAGTCATTTACAAAAGTTATGATGACACAAAAGTTTCCCTGCCCGGAGAAACAACATAAATGGATACACAAAGAACTCCAGAGAACCACAAGCATGGTAGAACCCCAAACACGGATGCATGCCTGTATGTCTACACATCATAATAGGGATACTAAATCCACACAAGACATAAGAATCCAATATGGCAATATGTACCAAAAAAGCACTTTCCAAATGGCAAATGCTATTGATAAGCTAAAAACACATTTTCGGTACCTTATGCTTCAGCCTACGGAGGACAAATGGTCGAAGTACTTGGTGAAGACGGTTTATGATCAATAAATTCTCTTCCTCAGACAGCAAGGCCTTGTCAACATAAGCCAACAACATGTAACTATTAGATTTTAATGTAACAGGAGTCATAAGAGAATGTCAATGACTCATACAATCTTTCAAAGCTTACTTGCTCAGCTGAGTTATCACCACTACTTTCAAATGGTTTGTTGAACCACTGAGAAAAATCATCTGATGAATTAAAAATATTTGGCAACAAGAAGTTTAATAGCGCCCACAACTCCTCGAGATTATTCTAATCAAACAGAAATACAAGGTAATCAGGATACCACATTAGCACGCCAACCAAGGTAAGACAATACACATTTACTACACCATAACGGAAAATGAGTGCAAACAACAACAAAAGAAGGGCACAAGATAATAAAAGCCTGAAACCTGTAATGGGGTTCCAGTTAACAGCAATCTGTGAGAGCTCTGATAATGCTTCAACTCGGCATTTAGCTTGCAGGAAGCATTCTTTATCCGGTGACCTTCATCAATTATTATATAATGCCAATGTATTTTGCTTAGTTTAGGTCTGTCATGCTTATTCATCAGATACTCGTATGTCGTAAGGAGAACATTAAATTTCTGTTGAACTATTCTTTCCCTGCAATGTAAAGTAACTCCTGAGCCACTGTATACCAAAAGTATAACACAAAATGAAGTAGCTGTTTGGTTTTATGTGATTACTTGAATAGCCTACGTCTCTCCTCAGGGGTGCCAGCATAGACAATTCTAAGAATACTAGGGGCCCAAAAGTTAATTTCTGTCTCCCATCCAGGTAAAACTGAAGATGGCACAACCACTAGAAAAGGTCCTCGGTCATTTTTTGTTTCCATCAGGTAACAAATTAAAGATATTACCTACAAACAAACATGTTACAGAGTTTACATGTGTAAACAGGAAACAAAATGCCATAAGTCTAGGTAGATCGAGTATCAATCCCTACCTGAACAGTTTTACCTAGTCCCATTTCATCAGCCAGAATACCATTCAAATGATTGTTGTATAGTGACACCAACCACCTTAAGCCATTCATTTGATACCTGAAGATCAAAAATACTGTTATTGATCAAAACACTTCCTCAATTTTTTCCAATGGATACGACAATTCTAAAATTGTTCTTAAATTAGACCATTTTAAAGTTGAGGAAAATAAAATTCAAACGTTTTTCCATCCCCAACCACCAAAAATATATTATATTTACAAATATATTAATATGACAAAGCACATTCTACTCACTCTCTCAATTTTCCACCATTAAGAATAGATGGCTGCTCAGCGACAGTCTCTTTTATACTGCAAAAGCCAATGTTGATTGTAAGATACTTTGGCAGACCATGTAAAGGACAAAGCAGTACAAATGACAGCCTCAAGAAAGCAAGACTTTATTTCTATAAAGAATTAATGTTCCAAGAGCTATGGTCAGAAAGGAAATTTTTTAAAGAGGGATTAGTAAAAGGAACCAGAGCTTAGCTCAGTTCAACCACCACTAAATAAATGTTAGGTAGTGAGGGATAGCTATTCCAAAGCAGCAAATAAAGTTTAATAAAAAATAAACCCAAGATAAAGAAGCCGTATCAGTACCTATGAGCCATCAAATAGTACTTCTCATTGCTCTCCATGTAATGCTGCAAAACAATAACAAAATTAGCGGGGACTTAACTAGGAAGTGAAGTGCACAGAGAATAAACTTGCCTTAGCCTGGTCACTTTCATCTTCATTTTCAAAAGTAGGCTCACTCTTCTCCACAACACTTGCAGTTCCACTATCATCCATATCATGCTCAAACCGGCTTGCCAAAGCCTTTGCATCTCGTAGTTTGGAACCGAGCTTTTGAAGATATTTCTCAGTCTCTTTGAGAAGTTGCTTAACACGGTCAGATTTGGCATCCTAGCATGAGTTCCAAAAATGTTATGTAAAAAAAAGAGTAAACTTAAGATGCAATGCCGAAGTCAATAAAACTTTAGAACATACCTGCACCATTCGCAGATATCCCTCCACGTCATTGATCTTCAATAAATTTATCTTCTCACGTTGGATCCTATCAATCTTCTCACGATGGATACGTTCCTTCCTTTTATGGAACTCCTTCACATATTTATTGAAAACCTTCCAGCGCTCTCTCTTAAGTTTAAACACATCATCCAGTCTTTCCCTGAAGTACAGATTAGAAAGCAAGTGAGAAAACCGCACAGCACACTTTGGAAACTGAATTGACTATGAGAAATAGAATAAATGACTACTACAGCTCCTCAAAAACATAGAATGCTAAAAATGTTGACACGCACTGGACAAAGATAAAACACGTACTTGTGAACCTCGATATCACCAAAGAACTCCTTTTGCCTCTCCCGAATTCTCTTTTGTCGCTCTTCCTTCATCTTTTGCTCAAACCTTTCAAGTTGTTTAATCCTCCTACCATGTCTATATTTCTTACAACTTCTCAAGTGATCCATTTCAGTACTGATTGGTTTGAAGAAATCACCCAAAAATTCACTGCCAAAACGAGTCAAAACATGGTTTTTAAGTGTCTGAGAAATAAAACAAATTATACAGAAAAAAAATTGCACTAATTAGACTGAAAAGATAAATATATACTCCCTCTGTCCCAAATTAATGGTCCACGCTTCCTTTTCAGGAATCCAAAAGAATTTTACCCACTGTGAAAAACTTGAATAATTTCTTTCCACTTTTTCCACAAGCCGTCATCTCTTTAAATGAATTTGATATGAAATACTTCATAATTTTAGATTTAAAAATAAGAGAAACAATTGAATGCAAACACCTGAGAAGTAGGAAAGCATTAAATGGTTAAATTTTTATAGAAAAGCATTAAAACATTTCCAAATAATTTCGTAAGAAAGCATTAAAGCCGTACTTAAAATTTATGTTTCTGCAGCACAGATAATTTTTTAAAGGGACAGAGGAGTAATTGGTCTTCACTTGGAAGCCTGTATAGGATAATCAATAACCTCCGGAGACGGCGTTGCAGCCCCAAGAGTTGTAGTTTTTTCAGTTCTATGACGCTTTTTGTTTTTGCAGATATATCTTCAGAGGAGCTCACATTTTCCTACAAGTAGTAAAACGCACTACATGAGGCAAAAACAGTATTAAAAATAGGATAAATGAACCTATCACACCAGCCATCTAGTTGAATTTATCTTTTTGCAAAGATATATTCACGAATTTCACATATAGATGAGAATTGAGTAAATATAGGATAAGCATTTGGTCAAAACATGACACGGAGATCATTTAACAACTTCAAGAATACAGAGCAAACAAGATAAGTAGTTGAGTAAACTCCTTTCCATAACGGATGTATTGTTTGAAGGGTGAGTTATAGGAATAATGAAAGCACATGAAAAATAACAATAAAATAATTATCCCTTCAGTGATGTGAACATTACGATGTGCCCAAACCGTTTCTTGTGGAACTCTGTACAGCACCATGTAAACACAGTTGTGATGAAATTCATAACAAAACAAGCACGGCAGTGCATGGTTGGTTATGTTCTCTTTTATGCATCTCTTACTACGTGATCTGTGCTTCATACAAGCTATGACGTGCCAACTTACTGAATAAGTAAACTGGCCCAAATAATTTGATTCTTCTATTCTTCCAGCAGAGAGATGCACCTATGATCTGTTGGGTTTTTCCAGCCCACGATGCGTTGTCCTAAGTCTATTAGGAATTATAGACTTAGAAGATTTAGTGGCTTTCCCAATTGGAGTTGTTTATCCAATTGGAGTTAGTTTCTCAATTGGAGAAAGATTCATAACTAGATTCAAATTAAGAATAGTAATCCTTATTGAAGATGACCTTTATTATGTCTATATAAAGGGGCTATTGTACTGGTTTTGAATGGGAGCAAAACAATAAGTTGTATACCACTCAAGGGATTAGAGTGAGAGAATATTGTAAGGGCAAAGTGTGTGCGAGAGAAAAGAAAAGAGATAAAGAGTGTATTTCTTGTTCTTGTTCTCTCGGGTTTATTGTCAAGTTCTTAATTCTAGAGACTTGGCAAGATTATTGATTGTACTCATTATTGATATGGTGAAAGATTGTTGTTGCTGTCCCGTGGACATAGGCACATATAGCCGAACCACATTAATTCTTTGTGTTACTTATCTTGGTTATTTTGTTTTTGATTTCCCGAGTTTGTTTTGTTTTTCCCATTCTTAAGTGCAAGATTCACAACATGATCAAGTAATTTTAGAGCTATTGCCTTTAAGCCCGACCCCCCAAAACCTTCTTAATGCTACTCTAACAAAGAAAAAAACCACAAAATCTATACATGGTTAACTTTTCTGGATGGCTCCATTGTTTTCATAGAAGACATACATGGCACATGGCATTCTGGACATTGTTCCATATTAACCACTTAAGTTAGATATATTATTCTTTTAAGTCAAAAATCAATCATTCCCCATGAAACTTCTAACACAGATGGATCAGTTTTAAAGTACACATCAGCATAATACTTTTTCTAAATAGTATAAACTACTCTAATTTGGTAGAGAGGGGCTCAAACTTGGGAGCCAAATGGCCTAACCAACACCTGCATCAGCATAATTCTACTTGAAATGTGTGAAGATGATCCCTTTTGTATTTCACAAAAGTCCAGTTAGGGAACTAAGGTATCGCTGAATTTCAGCTTTACAGCAACCCCTCAAACCCCAACAACACCCCCCCCCCGGGCCCACCCCTCTATCTTTTCCCCACGAGAATATAAAAAAAAAAAAAAAAAAAAAAACCTCCGTAACTACAAATTAAGACCATAACAATTACCAGGCAAGAATTAAGAAAATTATGTTTTGGGGTAATAAAAGAACAACCAATATTTGAAGACACATAATGCTTTTATAACAGACCTTTAACTTGTGGAAACATGTCGCAATTTTTTGCTTCGCTTTTTGCTGTTTTAGAATCCAAGTTTGTTCATCCAAAAGCTGCTTTTTCTGCTTATCCATAATCCACTTCTCTGACATAGTGTACTTTGGTGAAGGTGGCAAGTCAGTATGGTTGTCGTTCTTTACTTGTCCTGCAGTTGAAAAAAGGTCTTTTTCAGAGATTCACAAATGATTTCTTACTCTCAAAAAGCATTTCTTCTGAAATACAAATACCTATGAACCATCTACACCATAATTACCAGAAGTAGCAAGATCACACGAAAGAAAAAGGACAGATTGATTTAAATATATTGTTCTCACCCTGAGACATATGTTTCGGCATGATCTGAGCATCCTTTGATGCAACTGCTGTGTGTTGGTCATTTCCAATTCCAGAAATTGGTTTCCAAGGATCTCTAAGTGAAAAAGAAGAGGTTTGGCTAGCCCTTGCAACTTGCAAATGTCCATTTTCCACATTGTTCAAGGGATTAATGACAGTTGAACCACTCCTTGCACCTGAAGATTCGGGATGCTGTGATGCAATAGTTAAACATGCCGGCGAGATTGTGGTCTCCTGGGTCTGTATCTCAGATTCTGGTTTCTGTAAACCAAGAAGATGGTTTCTTTCTTCTGCAAGTACAAAGTCATCTGGAGGTGGGCCATTCCTTTCTTCCATTTTTGGGTTTTCGGTTTCTTTGGACAAAGAGTTAGTCTCAGGGATTTTTCCAGTGGACAAGGCACTGGGCAGCATTTTATCAGTGTCCCTCTCATTGTTAAGCCTTCCATATGGTGTAGTAGCATCAGAAATGATATTTGGCTCATTTGAAAACTGTGTTTTTCCTTTGTGGTCGATGAACTCTTTATGAGGCCCATCTGTATTGCCACCTGAAATTTTTTACATTAATACATCAAGGCCGATAATACAAAGTTATTCAACTCTGGGGCAGCAAGTCAGTAAAAATTGAGGATTTAGAAAAAAATGAAAATAGTTACCTTCTTTAGGGAAAATGTTACCGAGTGCAATTTCAAGATGTAGCTTCTTTGGCATCAAACCATTTCTGCACGCAAAACACCAGAATTTAACCCAACTAAGACAAAGATTTGAACTGGATAGCATCTTGACCAAATAGGAGAACATCAGATCCAAAATATAACTATCTACCTGAAGGCTAAAAAGACAAGGCACTGCGCTCTGAGCTGTTTCAACTGCTGTTCCTGGAAAGGTGTGCCAGGAGATCCAGAAGCCAAGTGAACTGGAGATTTACCAGTATCTCTCATAGCTGCACTTCTCAGCACACTCATTTCTACAGCACTATTTTGCCTGCCAGCCTATGAACAAATGTGTCAAACGCAAATTACAGCACATGCACAAGCTTTCAAACAGCAAAGGACAAATAATTTCATGTGCGGAACAGATTTCCAGATAATATACCGGTATTAACTAAACATGAGGAATGCCATTTAAGCAGACTGCTAAAATGAAAAAAAAAAGAAAGATCTAACTCAGACAAACCACATGCCATATACACATTCGTAAATGGGTTTTTATCACAAATGGTCCTTGGCATTGATCCAACTCCTTATTTTGGTCCCTCAATTTCAAAATCGATAAATTTCGTCCCTGACTTTCACCAGCGCACATCAATTTGGTCCTTCCGTTAGAATTCCGCAAATTTTTTGTTAGTGTGCTGGTGTGGCACACAATGAGTCCCACTAATCCAATCATATTGTGCCATGGGGATTATTCAATAAAAACCATTTTTGTATAAGATTTAAAACTAAAATTAATAAAACAAAATAAACACTAATAAAAAAGGAAGGTACAGCCCAGATGAATACAATTGGTTTGGAGATGTGGGTTTTGGTGGAGGAAGAAGAGGAGGGTTTCGAACTCTCGGTGAATGCAGAGGAAGAAATCAACGAGTTCTTGGAGCCATTGGAGGGAGAGGAGGTTCCTGGAGGAAGAAGAGAGGTGGGCCGTGGACGAAGCAATTGAAGACATGGGTTTGGAAGGAATTGAGGTCCAATCAACCACCACCCACTACTTGGTTGTGGCTCTCCGTTGAATCCAACTAATTACATCTCGGCTGAAGACTGAACGTCCAATTTGGTTAGAACTAAATGATGAGTATTCCGTGCTGGCATTTCTCTAGCATCCCACAACCCCAATTGGGAAAAAATTCAATCTAAATTAGATAAAATCAAATCTAACTTCAATTCAAATTTGATAGGATTATAAAAAACTGGAGACAATGTGGAGTGAGTTTAGGGAGGCCAAGTGCTTTAGTGGTGTCATGGTGCCTTCCTTTTTCTTTTTTAGCATACCCAGTTGAAGACGATGATGTCTTTTTTTAGTTTTGGTTTTTAGTTTCTTATTTTACTTTAGGTTGTAAATCTTAAAAAAATAGTTGCTTACAGTTAATCCACGTGGCGCCATATGATTGGATTAATGGGACCCATCATGTGCCACATCAGCACACTAATAGAAAATTTGACAAAATTTTAACAGAAGGACTAAATTGATGTGCGGTTGTGAAAGTCAAGGACCAAATTTACCGATTTTGAAACTCAAGGACCAAAATGAGGAGTTGGATCAATGTCAGGGACCATTTGCGATAAAAACCCTTCTTAAAACTAAATGTTTCCATAAGATCTGAAAGACACACAAATAGAAAGTATATTGTACGAGCTATGTTTTCTTTTAGTATGTCTTTTCCATATATATCAAGTAAGAATGCTAGAAACAACTTAATTCAGCATGAAGGACAAGGGTACGTACAACACCCTTGTTTTTCCAATAAGTGGAGAACAGAATGGATATAGATTAAGTACCTGAGATGTCTTATTTGCATCAGCTAGTATATCAGTATTTCCTCCATCATGCTCAGAGACCTTTCCAGTTGAGGCCAATGTGCTGCTGTAATGGATTGGACTTGAGAATCCAGGTTCTGCTACTTGAAATGAACCAGATGCAACTGGCACGCCTCCTTGAATCTTGCCAAAAGAGCCTGAATTTCCAAGAATACCATGTGAGCCTTAATTACTCAAAAACCCAGGATATAGTAGAAGAGTTTCAGCCTTAATAAGATTAACCTCATTTAAGAATCATTTATTTGTTCGTATATTAATTCAATACAAAAGAAAGCGGAGAAGATATCATTCCAAAATATAGATAAGTCATGTTTCAAAATAATTCAACCGAAGTTGTTATCAAATCAAATAATCCCACGGAGAGGATACTGTTTAAGGACACAGTCGGGTCCATGTTTTTTTAATACCATTTTATACCAGTTATATTTGGAAACTCTTCAATTTTGCAAGCTGAAATTTCAGATGCATTGATTTGCAACGCGTTAATTCCACAATAATATCAACTTCTTTCCAAGTTCTTACTTGATCCAGGTGATGGAGATGTTGACTGCTGCATTGGAATCTCTGCTGAAATATTACCTGGGACGGCAACATTAGAAGAAAATCTGGGAACTTGAGATTTTTCAAATGGAAACCCAGCTTTACTTTGATTCCATATGCCCCTAGTGTCATGTGTAGGAGTTAGAGAAGTGGCTTGCTGCTGTGCTAACGCATTATGAGTAGAGGAAACTTCCATTTCTTCAGGGTGATTTGAACTCAGAGCCCGAGACACCGAGTTGCTAGTATTTGTCACATCCAACTGCTTTTCTGAAGGTTGACCTTCTTGCTTGGCTCTGAGCAGTGGTCTCATGCTTCCAGAGAACGATGTAAAATGTTCCATTTGACCACCACTCAGACCAATATTAAAATTAGCATTTTCACCACCTTTACTTGAGAAACCAGCCAGTGGTTCGACCTTGTTTATCTTTCCCTTCCTTGTAGTAACTGCAGCGTTTCCAGTATCAAGATGTTGAGGGTTTTCAGGATGCAGTTCCATAGGCATGGATGTATCTTCCCTCTTCCTCTTAGTGGTGGGTTTTTTACCATCCTTTCGATTCACCTGTTTGTTTGCGTCACGCCTTTCTTGTGACTGTGAATTGGTAGACCTAGAGTCTAAACTAGATGGACTTTCATGATCAAAAGACTGACTGCTCCGATGAGTTGCAGATCCTTGATAATAATCATTCCCTGTACTGCTAGGACCAACAGGTGGTCTGCTTGAAGAAAATGTGTCCATATTAGACATCTCGTTTTCGGTCAAGCCTGCTTTGGAATCTTTTGCAACACCAACAGCATGAGAAGAACCTGCAGAAAAATGGCTGCCAATTACCTCACGCTGGCCAAGATAGTATAATGAGCCAATTTGATTGAAATAAAACGACATTGACTGATTGACCTCACAATGTGACTGAAAAATTACCTGTTTGAGTTCCACCAGACATAGGAAGGCGTGACGACTTCAAAGCTTCAATATCAAGACCATGCTGATTAATAACAGTCTCCATGGCCCTAAGTGGATCAAGGAAGATAAGTAAGAGAAAAGTATAAGACCCCCCCCCCTCTCCCCCTTTCTCTCTCCCAGTCCCCAAATAAATGAAGATGATGAAGGAAGACCCAATTCACAAATCAGCTATGACTATGACAAATCAAAATTTTCAGGTTATGAGTCGACATATACGCAGAAAAAATTGAAATACCAAAACAGAAAGAAAACCCATGAAAAATAGGAGTGTTGAAAAAAAAATTAAAACAATAGGTAGTGATAAGAAAAGCTAAACGCAAAAAAACAGAAACATAGCTTAATGTAAAATGATCTCCATACTAAAGCAATTTAGTCTTGAACTAAGCTTATTTTTTGCCAAAAACTATGTAAACTATTTAACTACCTAACCAATATTATTGGATATAGTACAACTATCCCCACTATGTGGGGTAAATACCCGAATAAAAGAAAAGGCAGATTCATCCTCCAGATTAATAAGGTATAGAAAACTTATTTTCTTGGACACTGCAAGCTCGATGGTACCAGATAATTAAGTAAATTATCTTTAGGATTCACCATGTAAAATGATAACAATGCTAGCACAGTTTTGAAACTCTTTCACATGTCTAGATAACTAATGCAATCTTAAAATTTCTGAGTGTCCTAAATATAAGTCCGGAATTAACAAAATACCATCAAATAAGGTGAACAATGATTAACCTTTACCTTGATATCACTTGATATGGCATGGAATGTTCCTTGCCACTTGACTTCATGTGTTGTAGTATCTGCATTTCCCAAACACAAAGCAAATAAATATTTGTACATGCGCGTCAATAAATAGGAGCGAACAGAGGGCGGGGTGAGATAAAAAGACCAATTGTCAAGAGAAAACTGCACAAACCACATAAAGCTTCGTAGCAAGTTTGGCAGGCTCATCTTTAGAATCTTGAATGAGTTTGTGGAGAAACTTGGCTGCTTCCAACTCGACATTATGTGAAGATGCCATCTCATTCGAACTGCCATGCAATTAGTGAAATCAAAGGACAGTATAACTATCAGAGCATAGTCAATCAATCAATTTTCTGGTTCAACTTTTGGAATCAGATGCTCAATGCATATTTATGGTTGAGAATTACAGTTTTGATGTACAGTAGTGACCAATAGCTTTCAGCATCAAATGGGGGAAAATACCACAAAGATCGCCTAGCAATTACAGCCGCTTGTCGACATCTCATAAACACCCATGACTAGAAGTGTTACAAGACAAAAACACAACTACTCTCCCCCTCAACTACTGAGAGGGAAAGAGAGAAGCATTGATTGCAGACGAAATAAGTGCATTTTATTTAGGTAAAGTAAACAATTCATTAAAACATCAAATGGTGCCGATATAAACTTTCTATTTGAGAAATGGATCAATTAGATTGCTACTTCTACTTCCCATATACCTTTCTAACTAATTTCCAAAACTGGCTAAAGCAATGATACTGTCAATTTAAACCCACTTTTCAAAATTCACTTTAAACAAAAACCCAAGTCAATTTTCATATACTAGAACCAAAAAAAACCCCTAATTTTTTACAAAAACCCTACCTTGGCCCTTTTGCAGGAAAGTTGAGCTGAAAATTAGTAAAACACAGGCAACTCCTGTCCCAAAACCCAAGAAAATGATATTTAAGAAGCAAAATTTCGGTCTCGAAAATAAAAACTGACACTGACAGCCCGTATTCGAATTCGATTCATCAACTTTCGGTGACTGAGTTCGGAAACAGTAAAAAATTGTGGACGGCAATATAAAATACTAAGAAGCGGCAGCTTGAAAGGCAAAAAGGTTTACCTAATCGGAGATCCGACCCGGAATTCGACGGAGACGCTGCTGCAAGCTGGACAGCTTCATCAATAAGAACCAGAGCGAGAAGACGCAATTGTGAAAGCCCTCGCCCTCAGAGATGTAATTTGAGGAAGCTGCTCTCTGTCCGTTATTGTGTGAGAGACTTTAACTCCGTCTAAATTAACGGAGAGCCCTTTGTGCTTAGTGGTTAGTGCTTATCGATTATTTAGCTGATTCGGTACATTTTGTAAACCTCCGTTACGAATGTAGTCCTTTCCATCCACTCAGTGTTTTTATGATTATTTAGCTGATTCGGTACATTTTGTAAACCTCCGTTACGAATGTAGTCCTTTCCATCCACTCAGTGTTTTTATTGTACCGAACTATTTTCAACTAGATTCAAAGTTTAAGTTGGACTAACTTGGTTTGGATTAAGCAGGATAAAAGCAACTCCAATGGGAGTCCCTATTTAGGAACTCCCACCACCACCTTTAAAGACTTATTTAGGTACCAAAGAGAATCTTTGAGTCCTTAAAAGAATATTATCTCCAGTGAAAAAGTCTCGATAGTATAAACTCTAAATTTGAAGACTATATAATTAAAAACTCTAAGTTAAATATGGACCGTTTATTTATAATAGAAGAAAAGAAATATGTGGGATCCAACCTGCAAATGCATCAATAGTTGTCTGGCGACTAGCATCCACCCGCATTGCTGGAGCAAGTGGATGAGCTGCAATATCATTCAAACCCAATATTTGGAAGAAGCATGCAACCTTTCACCTGGGTGGGCCTCCATCCCCACTCAAAGTTGTCCCTCTATATAGTCCTTAAATGTGAGGAAATTTCGAGTACTCCGGCCAATTCCTATACTACAGGGACTGGAGCTCCACCCCACTAGAAGACACAAAGTTCCTAAATTTAAAGACATATTGGGTATAATGTGGTAAGGACTCTATTTAGAAACTCCACTAGCAATACTCTAAGAATAACAAAATATTTGGTGCAGTGTTGGATTATGTCGTAGACTAAAACATTTTTCTTAGGCAAAAATTTAATACCAAATTTCTTTTATTTTTTACTCTCTCTCTCTCTCTCTCTCTCTCTCTCTCTCTCTCTCTCTCTCTCTCTCTCTCTCTCTCTCTCTCTCTCTCTCTCTCTCTCTCTCTCTCTCTCTCTCTGTCTGTTGCACGCTCACTCACCAAAACCGAAAATAGAAAAAGAAAAAAATAATTCTAAAAAAAAAAAAAAAAAAAGTTTACTATATTACTCCTCAACCACTAAGTTCACCATTGTTTCCTCTTTTCCTTTGCCCGCCCCCCATCACATTTTCGATGATAGATGGATATCTGATGCAAGGTATTCAGAGTTGATGATTATTTTGGATTTATCGTTTGACCAATAAAGTATGTGCTGATTCGCCCCCATCTTCGCATGGTCTCTATAGGTCTATTTCTGGACTTGTGTTTTGGTAATTGTTTTGGTGATAATCGTGGTAATGCTAAGCTTTGTGGTTGCGTCTGCTACTTCTTGTAGTTGTTTTGTGGCTATTTTTTTGTGAATAGAGGGGGTGAAGACATCCGAGATGAAACTAAGACATAATATTAATAACAATTGAGTGGCCCATAGGGACACCTACAAGATCATCTGTTAAATGTTGCATAAGCCATTGGGGAGGAAGCTGAAAAGAATACAAACCAAGGTCCAAATTATAGCTCCATTTGGCTAGCTGATCTGTAACATTGTTCAATTCCCTAAAAATATGCTTTAGTTCACAGTGCGCAATTCATCTCATCAAATCCCTACAATTCTTCAAAGGGGTAGCAAGGGGTGAAAAGTATCTTCCACAAATTGGTTCAACAATAATACAGCAGAGGAAGAGTCCATCTCAACGATTAACTTAGATATGCTTTTCAATAACAAGCTAGAGCCCGAAATACAATCCGCAAACTTCAGCTTCTATAATCTGCCATTGCCCTAGATTAATAGAGAAACCTCCCATTCAATCACCATTGTGGTCAAGGAGAATTCTTCTAGCATTGATCTTGCTCGAAACCATTTTTCTATAGCCATCCACATTCAACTTGTGTCGTCCAATAATAGAAGGCTCCCACTTCAACATAACATGCATTCAAGAAAGTGGCTTCTAATTTTTAAAAGTGAACCCAACGATTCAGAAGCAGCTCCAAGAATAACCTTTTTAGGATCACTAGGGAGGGATTTTTCAACATCAAAAATCTAATGATTCCTCCATTTCCAGATATACCAACAAGCAAAGACAACAAACAATTCCATGCTATCTTGTCAGACTACATTGCATTGGACGTCACATTAGCCATCATCTAGGCTTTCAAGTCCAAATTAAAAGTATTGCGCAACTGATATGGAACCCGCAAAATATCCCAAATGCATTGAGCTATGCTATATTCCTTTAGAATATGCAGATAGTTTCCAAAGGCTAAGAACAAAGATTGCGAGAGGAATCCACAGTTAGGTTTCTTTTGGTTCTTTGCTCATTGGTAAGTAACTTGCCTTAACCAATGAGCTATAGAAAGAACTTAAGTTTTGGGGGAATTTTGAGAATCCAAATTCCAATCCAATAAAAAACAAGCCTTCTTTCACAATCATATAACACATTATAAGTTGTCTTTACGCTGAAAGTTCCATTTGAATTGCATTCCCATATAAGTTTGTCTTCTCCAGCACCAATAGTCCCAGCATGCCAATTGATTATTTTTTTTTACCAAGTTTTCTATAATAACAGTTCTTAGCTTATTGACATCCGACTAACCATCACGAAAGAAAGAAGAGATTGGAAAGTCCTCATTGGAAAAATTATTATCATCAATATAATTAATTAAATGAGCATTCAACACCTAAAGGTCTTTCCGTAACTTGACACCATCACAATTTTGAATTCTCCATTTCATTTCTTGCGCAGCAAATCAGTTCCATATAAAATTCATTTTCAAGTGTATAAGCAGTCAAACTTCGCATAAGGGGCACTCAGAATTCCTTTCCATTTCATTCATTTGTGACTATAAAATTACTATTTCGGGTTGTTTTCAATGTTAATGGGCTTGACTCAGCTACATGATGACAAGATAAAAACCTTTCAACATGTTTCAAACTAGTGTACAATGGGGATACATGTACAAAAGATTAGGGGAAAATGCAGGGCGACATCCCACTGAAAGTGCAACATTTGGCCACACTAGGTAATTCCTTGATGAGGTTAGCTCTACCAACTATTTTTTCTTTACTCAAAAGCGGAACAATTTCACTTCTTTGGTTAGAAGTTAAAACCACAATCACTAGAGATTTTTCAATGTGCTTGGAATAGGGGGCGGTACGCTATATGTTATCATAAAAATGGAGGGAAGTTTTTTATTTCACATGTCCCTTCACTTGGATAATGGCATATGATGCATGTGCCCTTATTCCCAGCACATTGGAAAACCTGTCCACAAGCACACCCAACCTACCATCTACAGTTATCTTCGTATCCTACAATAATAACAATTCTTATAACAAAACACGTACTAGTTTATGAAATAAATAACGCTAATTTACAAAAAGACAAAATAACAAGTACATAAATTATAGGGAACTTTAACGAGAAACTCTTGGTACTGTTCACTTTAACGAAAAACCATATTTTTACACTAAAAAGTCAATCCTGATACTATTCACTTTACCCTTTATTTTGTCATTTTCATTAAAACTCAAAAGTTTTCAAACATTTTTCATTAGTTTTCCCTAAATTTATATGCTTAATTATAGTAATGGTCTTTGAATTTTAGTCATAGTTTAACTTTAGTTCCTAAACTCTCATATTATTTTATTTAGTCATTGAACTTAACAATGTGTTACACCATTGCTCCTTTTCACTAACGTTGTTTTTTTTTTTTTTTTGTTGTTGTTGTTAAATCTAGAGTATTTTAGGAACTTCGATTTAAAAATTTAGGAAAAAAAAATAGAAGAAGCTTAAATACAAATGAAAACTTATGAATTAATATCTAAAACTTAAATCAAAATGAAATTTGAACTATAAAAACACAAAATGAAAATGGTTGGATTTTGGGCTGGTTTGGTATTGTTGTGCTTTGAAAAAAAACTGATTCTGTTGTGTTGTGAGAATAAGCAGCTGCGTGAAATAAAGCAGCAGAGTGTTTGGTAAACTTTTTTTTGTAAAAGTGCTTTTAGAAAGAAAAAAAACAGTATTATAGTGTTTGGTAAACTTTTATGTAAAATAGATGTGACTATCTGAAATGACCAAAATTGTATGATACTAGATGTGTCATTAATTTAATCCAATTCAAATGATTAGTTCAACCATTAGATGAAAATTTAACGTAAAATATAGAGTTTATTATGCATTTTCTGACTCGCATTTGTACATATGAAACACAAAATCTAACGGAATATACCCATCAAGAAATGTTCAACTAAAGAAGAAAAACTCCACAATGTTGTAATGGAAGTACATGGTTTCTACAAAATAAGCCTAACAAAGAACGCCAAGCAAATTACGAAGCAGCTACTACAGCCTTGGGGATAGCCGCCACAACTGCAGCCTTCGGGGGAGTAGAAGTACTCGATTTTGCATCCTTGGTGGGAGATGGGGCTGGAGGTGAAAGCTTAAGGTGGGAAGGTGTATTATGCTTCAATTTTAAAAGTATATGCCTCATCCTCGAAAGCTCGATTGGCTTTCCAAACTTTAGACCTTAGACAACAAGAATGGATGGCTTCTTTTCCATATCTTTCTTCCCTCTCTTCTCTATTGATGGCACCTCATTGGGGATGAGGTCCGCAATTGCCTTCCAGTACTTCTTGTCTACCTCAGCATGAAACTTCTCTTGATTAGCTAAGAACAGCTGAGAAACGCCAAAATACAACAGTTCGATTCCTCACTAAATGTCGTTGTGGGAGACTTATGAGAGTTTTGGGTATGTGAATTTATCGAGAGAAACCTAGATGTGGATTTGTGCTTTGTTTTAGGCGGTGACAGAGCTTGATGCCTTGAATTCCATGCTTGAGTGCATTAGTGTAGATCTCATGTGAGTTATTTTAATTTATGTGATATGATTAATACTTTGAAATCTTTCGGACTAATAAGCTTTGTGATTACACCATGGATTCTTAAAATAGGTCTTATGC